TTCTCTAATATATACACATATATATTAATATACATATTCTACCTGGGGAAGAATTTAATTAGTAAATGTCCACTAGGTATTAGTGATTAATTTGATTATTAATCCCAAGAGGCTGTGCATTTTAACAGTCATTACTTTCCCTCAAAGAGTGTTAAAAGTGTAAAAGACTTTAATTTACCAAGAACTAAAGCCAAATTCATCTTCCTGCCTCTCCACCTTGTTGGCACACTACTGCCTGCCACATTGGTCCTGATGCTCTCTGACATAGTCCTTTTTGTACTACACTGCCTCCAGTGGAGGAGTTCCCAGCACCAGGAGATGTTGTTAGGGATAATTTGGAAATAAGAAAGTCTTTCCAGTAGCTTTAAACACTCCCTGTAGGTCATCATCTTCTTGACTCACACATTAGGCTTCTCTGAAAAATCAGACTAATGCACACTGAAGCACTATTTTTAGCCCAGGATATAAAAACTTACCTGTAAAACCAAGTCAGTCTGTCGTTACTTTAAATATCTTGCTAAAATTTTGGATAAATGGTTTTGATTAAATTATCTACCCTTACATTGTTTACTACAGTCTAAGTTTGCAAAAGGCTTCCCATTCACCCACTTTTTCGTCTCTAAACACAATCACATGAGATAGTTGGGGAACTACGAACATCAGACTTATCAATCTTCCATATAAAAAGTGTGGGTTTCATCACAAGCAAGGAAATTGAAACTATAATCAGAAATCTTCCAGCAAACAAAAGCCCAGGACTAGATGGCTTCACAGCTGAATTCTACCAAAAATTTAGAGAAGAGCTAACACCTATCTTACTCAAACTCTTCCAGAAAATTGCAGAAGAAGGTAAACTTCCAAACTCATTCTATGAGGCCACCATCACCCTAATTCCAAAACCAGACAAAGATGCCACAAAAAAAGAAAACTACAGGCCAATATCACTGATGAACATAGATGCAAAAATCCTTAACAAAATTCTAGCAAACAGAATCCAACAACATATTAAAAAAATCATACATCATGACCAAGTGGGCTTTATCCCAGGAATGCAAGGATTCTTTAATATCCGCAAATCAATCAATGTAATACACCACATTAACAAATTGAAAGATAAAAACCATATGATTATCTCAATAGATGCAGAAAAAGCCTTTGACAAAATTCAACATCCATTTATGATTAAAACTCTCCAGAAAGCAGGAATAGAAGGAACATACCTCAACATAATAAAAGCTATATATGACAAACCCACAGCAAGACAGGAATATTCTTAACCACTGAACCACCAAGGAAACCCTCACCTTCATTTTTGACATTTTTTGAAAGATATTTTTGCTATAGAATTCTAGGTTGACAGGTTTTTGTTTTCCTTTCAGTAAAGATGTTGTTCCTCTGTCTTCTAGCTTCCTTCCTGCTAAACTTCCCCAACCTCACTGTGAGAAATCTTTCTTCTCTGAGTTTCTCATTAAGTAACTTGTTTATTTCTCTGGTTGGTTTTAAGCTTTTTCTCTTTATTACTGGTTTTAAGCAGTTTGCTTATGATATGATTTATTCCTTTCATGTTTACTTCTTTTATTCCATTCCTTTCATTTATTCGTTTCATGAAAGCTTAATTCCTTTCATGTTTCCTGTGCTTAGGGATCATTTAGGGTTTTTCATCCATGGATTTATTTCTTTATTGACTTTGGCAAGTTTTTGGCCATTATTTCTTCAGATATTTTTTTTTGGCCTCACCTCTATACTCTTTCAGGGATTCTGAGTACATGTATATCAGAGTTATCTCACAGCTCATTGATGCTGCATTAATTTTTCTTTTAAGTCTTTCTTTTTTCATTTATGTGTTTTATTTTGGATAGTCTCTCTTGCCTTGTCTACAAAGTTCACTAATCTTTTTTTCTGCAGCATCTAATCTAGTCTTTTGTTGTTATTTGGTTGCTAAGTCATGTCTGACTGTTTTGCAACCCCATGGACTGTAACCTGCCAGGCTTCTCTGTCCATGGGATTTCCCAGGCAAGAATACTGGAGTGAGTTGCCATTTCCTTCTCTGAGGGATTTTCCCAATCCAGGGTTTGAACCTGCATCTCCTGCATTGGCAGGTTGATTCTTTACCACTGAGCATGTGGGAATCTTAGTTTATGGCAAAGTAGAGATACTATAAAGTATATCACAACTAAATTAGGTGATGAATATTCTGACTTACTTATAGACCTTTTTGTTTTAATTGAAATGTAGTTGATTTACAATGTGGTGTTAGTTTCTGGTGTACAGCAAAGTGATTCATACTCTTTTCCTTTGTGGTTTATTACAAGGTATTATAGTTCCCTGTGCTATACAATAAGACCTTGTTTATTTTATATATAGTGGTTTGTACCTACTAATCCAAAACTCCTAATTTTTCTCCTGCTTCCCCTTTGGTAACTATAAATTTGTTTTCTATGCCTGTGAGTTTGTTTCTGTTCTGTAAAGAAGTTCATTTGTGCCATATTTTAGATTCCATGTATAAGTAATATTATATGATATTTGTCATTTTCTGCCTTTACTTAGTAAGATAATCTCTAGGTTCATCCATGGTGCTGCAAATGGCATTATTTCATTCTTTTTTATGGCTGAGTAATATCCCATTGTATGTATGTACTACATCTTCTTTATTCATTCCTTTGTTGATGGACGTTTAGGTTGCTTCCATGTCTTGGTTTTTTTAAATAGTGCTGGTATGAACATTGGTATGCATGTATCTTTTTGAGTTAGAGTTTTCTCCAGATATATGCCCAGGAATAGGATTGCTGGGTCATATGGTAATTCTATTTTTAATTTTTAAAGGAACTTCCATACTGTTTTCTATAGTGGCTGCACAAGTTTACATTCCCACCAGCAGTTTAGGAGGGTTCCCTTTTCTCCATATCCTCTCTAGCACTTATTATTTCTAGACTTTTGAGTGATGGCCTAGATTTTCTGATAGAGGCTGATATTTCTTTTAAAGAGGAGGACCACTTTTTCCTCTGCCTCAAACTGGATTCTTCTTTGGGCTTTCATAGCTAAGCAAATGGTGCCATAATTTACCTGGTCTCCCAAATCAAAAGTCTGTTAGGGTACCCTTGGCCTCCATGTCCATCAGCAGGTCTTATTACCTCTGCTTCCAAAAAAGATCTCACCTCCATCCATTTCTCTCCATCCTTTGCCACTATCCTGCCCCAAGCCACCATCCTCTCTTCCTTAAATGACAGCAATAACCTCCTCAGTGGTTGTTCCACTTCCTTCTATGTTTGTCCTATTTTGATGTTTTTCCTACAGTATCCACAAAATGATAGGCCGTGTGTTATCCCACATCTTAAAAACCTCTGTTGACCTTTATTTAATTGCATTTTGAATGAAATCCAAACTCTTTTCCAGGCCTTCAAGGTTCTGGGCCTGCCTCTGTACCATCAACTTGGGCCACATTTTCCCTCTTTTGCTGTGACTTAGACAAGTGATTTTCAAAAGTCATTTGGCCACAACCTACAGAATACATTTTACCTTACAGTCTACTACAAGAGGACATATATACTGTATTTCATTAATTTTTAAGGTAGCTAATGAGGATGTATCTTATAGCCTATATATATAGTCATAAGGACATAAACATGTCATAGTTTCATTGGAAATACTTCTGTTTCTTAATGTTACATAAAGCTGTGGTAAATTTTACAATAGATAGCAACTTACACTTGATGAATTATGTTCATAATAATAAAACAAGTTTCCAACAACAGTACTTACCCTTACTGTCCAAGGTGCATGCTGATGTTTTCTAATCGATTCTGTTTATTCCATTTCATTGGATAAAACCAAAAAACTCCATCTTGACATCCTTGCTCTCATGTCACAACTTGAAGTATAAAAAACTGTTCTAGCCACTCAGTCCTTTTTTATTTCCCATATGCACCCAACCCTTTCATGCTTTAGGGTTTTTGAGGATGCTCTTCCCTCTGCTCTTTTATGTTCTTTGCATGGCTGGCCCCTCATCGTCCTGCAGATTTCAGTTTAGATGTCACCTCTTCAGAGAAGCCCTCCTTGACTACTCCATTTAAGTCCCCCCCCTTATTTTATTTTCCCCTTAGGACCCATTTATTTCCTTCATAGCACTTCCCACTGTAAGTAATCATGTGCTTATTTATTTTCTGTCTGCCCACACCAGAATGAAGGTTAGGTCATATGAGCTGTATCTTGCTACAGTCTCTGCCATGTTATATGGCAGAGAAAAATCCTTGTCAGATCAATGAATCCTACTGGTTTAGAGTACCTCAACCTTGGTGAAAGCCTGTTTATTTACTTCAAGATCTGTATAGGATTTCTGAATATCCACAGCTTTGGATTTAATTTTTTTTAAAGTCCCTACTTTGTCCTGGCTGTGGTCCTGTATTTATTTCTGTGTGTGTGTGTTCTTTCTCGGGAGAAGGCGTGGGGCAGGGGGCAGGCAGCCAATTAGAGGGAAGAGAGAAAGGTTAAGAGTGGGGAGTAAGACAAATAAATGAGAGTAAAACTTCCTCCTATGTTCTTTTCCGTTCTTCTGCTAAATGCTAGTCCGTAGTTTTAATCTGAGTGTTCTGTGTGTTTGTACAGGGTATGAGTGAAGTGAAGTGAAAGTCACTCAGTTGTGGCTGACCCTTTCTAACCCCATGGACTATACAGTCCATGGACTTCTCTAAGTCAGAATGCTGGAGTGGGTAGCCTTTCCCCTCTCCAGGAGATCTTCCCAACCCAGGGATCAAACCCAGCTCTTTACCAGCTGAGACACACGGGAAGCCCACGTGTGGTCTAAATAGTTAATTGTTATCAGTAGGCATTGTGTATTTCTGTAGCTTCTCATGTTGGGCTTGGTTTGACTAATTCTTTGGGAAAAACGTTAGTGGGCAGCTGCAGCAGAGTTCCCGGCTTGTGATTTTCTTTGTTTGCCCCATAGCATGTAGAATTTGTATTCCACCCTATGAAAAATTTATAATCAACTTCTTACCTTTTAGGCACATAGAGATGAAATCCAGCGCAAATTTGATGCCCTTCGTAACAGCTGTACTGTGAGTATTAACCAAAGATGATGAAAATAACATGGAACTAAAACTGAGAAGGAAAGGGGGAACGTCTCTTTCTAATATCGGTGGCTGATTTTTGATATAAACTTTCAGCTTGAAGCAGTTGATGTGGTCAAACTGATGTGGAAGTTTCTAAGCCTCAGAAAACCTTAATTTCTTGGGTTCCTGCCAATTTTAAAAGTTTAAACCATCCTTCATGTTTGGAGAAGGCTTGTTGGAATGGTCAAAATAATTCTCCCTGCAGAACCACTAATAGGGTCTCAGTAGCTGCAACGAAAGTCCCAAGGGAGTTCCCCCTCCTTCTCCAATCTAGAAGTTTCTATCTGAGGTGGGCCTGAGATGGTAGGGCTTCTCCAGCCTGCTGGAGATGTGTCAGGCTTCTCCGGCTTGCTGCCTCTTCAGAGAGGGAAGACCAAGAAGTTCTTCTTCTGGAGAATCTAGAAGTGTTAGCTTTCTAACAGGCAGACTCTGGCTTCCTAACATGCAAATGCAGAATTTAGGACTCTTTGGGAGATGTTCTTTATATTGAGAGAAGTCAATTCCAGGAGAAGATAAGCATCATTCATAGGTTATGTAATAGGGTAAAATATCTATTTTTGATCAGAGTGAAGGACTAAAATAGGCCCCCTTCAGAAGGTAGGGATGGTGTCCTTTGTTCATGAATCTGCCTCCTTTCTCTGGTCCTTTCATCGCTTTGTTCCATCCTTAGTTCACAGTGAGCTGGTCTCTATTTGTATTATTTGCATCTGTGAATTTCCAGAAACACCCTTCTACATCCTATATACATATTTCATTTTCTGGTAATAAACTCCTTTTCTCTTTACCTACTATAAATGAGACATTAAGTCTTGATGGTATATGCCCCCTGCATCCCGCCTCCCTTCATTTAGCTATGGAATGCACACAGTAAAGTGTATGAAGTGAAACTAATCTTAAGTGTACAGCTCAGTTGATTTGTATGTGAGTAGACAACTTGTGTAACCACAACAAAGACCAAGATACAGAATGTTTCAGCTCCTGGAAGGCTCCTGTTGTCCTCTTCCCATCAGCGTGCTTTGCCCGAAGGGTAACTAGTAGTCTGATCTTTTATACTACACTTAGTTTTACCTGTTCTTGACTTTCATAAGAATGGGACCATTAGAGGATATGGTCTTTGGGTTTAGCCTTTTTGTTACTTAAATTGTCTGTGAGGTTCATCCATGTTGCACTGTCAAGATTTTGTTCTTTTTTATTATGGTGTCAGGTTTCTAGTGTATATTTAGATCTGAAGTTCGTTTATCTGTTCTCCTGTTGATGGGTTTGGAGTTGTTTCTGGTAGGAACAGAGCTATTAGAAAGCGCTCTTGTACAGGTCCTTTGGTGCTTACAAGCGTTTGTTTCTGATGAGCATATATATATATATATACACCCAGGAGTGGAAGAGCTAGGTCTTGGGACATGCCTCCGCTTAACTCTGGTAGGTGCTTGACAGGTATTTAGGTCTGTATTCCCTGATGCCAGTGGCCAGATGTGGGCTGAGCCTGCCTTAGGGATATCTGTTGATTTCCTCCATTCTCACCTCCCTTCCTTGAGAAATTGATACATTCTGTTCCTGTACTCTTTTGCTTTACTTTTAAAGTTTCTTAATTGTCTTGGTTTCTTCTTTTACATGAGAGTTATCTGCTTATATACATACATGCTCATAAATGATCACTGAATAAGATATAGATGGTTTTAGCACTGTGATTGATTTTTTTTTTTTTTTGCATTACTGTTTTTTCCTAAAATAATCTTGGATGCATTTTAAATGTGTACATCAATAATCTGTTCCATTCATCTGGAGTTTTCTTCTTTTTTAGTCTTTTTTAAAAAATCATTTATTTATTTACTTTAAAACAGCTTTATTGAGGGATAATTGGAGTACAGTAACCTAATGAGATTTCAGATGTGTGTATATCTTTAAAATGAGCAAAACAATCAAAATAACAACTATAGTCATCACCCTCAAGAGTTTCCTGTGCACTTTTGTTATCCACCCTTCCCCACCCCATTTTTAAAATCAAGATCTAGTTTTAATGGGATATGCTAATATATGGAATAAAATTGGTTACTTTCTTAACTTATGTAACTTTTATACTCTCTTTATACCACAGATTTGCTCTTCCTGGAACAATGACTTCTAATCCCTCGTTTACTTACCCTTGGCTTTCTGAAGCCTTTGGGGATCTACCCCAGTGGGAGGGGGATCCCAAGAGAGTGATTTCCACCCACCTTTCAGCTAGGCCAGCTGGGTGGCTTGGGGGTCCAAACTATGTGCTCTGGAGTCAGATAGACCAGTTGAGATTCTAAACTGGCCTCTCAATAACCTGTGTGATGTTATACACTGGAGCCTCCATTTCTTTGTCCATAAAATGGCGGTGACATTATATGTCCTCAATTCCAGTGCACCATTGATTGTAGGATGCACAGTTCATTTAACTACTGCTCTTTGGGAACTGGGTGAGGGAAGAGAGACAGCTGTTTAGTTCTTATTCGGATTTCCAGAACAGTAAAACCTAGGAAACACTGAGTCACAGAATCAGAAACTTGATAATAATACCTGCCTCATGGAGGTTCCTGCAAAAGTTAGATGATGCATCAGCATTTGTACAGGGCCTGGTCCACAGAATGTGCTAATCAGTGATAACTATTATTATTTGCTCATACTGCGTTTAGAACAGAATCTTGTTTAGAAAACAGCTTTGCTCCTTAAAAAAAAAGGTTAAAAACCACCACTTTAGAACAATACTTGGCAGCACTAGTGGATCTCAGTTGTCCTTCCACAAGTTCAAAGGCTGCTCTGCAGACACTTGAGAAGAGCACACAGATTCTCCTTTCTTGGCGGCGCTGTCCAAGACCGTCTCTGCTGGGAAATGTCATCTTCATTATCAGTGGAAACTCCTATAATAGCTCGATCGATAGGAGCTCCCATTTAGCAGCTTTTAAAAAGCTCATGAGCAGTAAGATTTTTCAGGCTCAGGCCATTTCTATATTTTGAAGAGATTTAAAAAAAGAATTTGATTCAATCTGGCACCTAAAACCCTACCTAAGTCTGTTTTGGAGAGGAGTTGGTGGGCAAACATATGACATGGTTTTAATTATGAATCAATCTGTCAGCTATAAGATTAAAAATAAATAATATGCAAATAGCCGCCCTCAAGAAGGAATGAGGCATTAAAATAGGACGTCAGCCCTATGTCTTTTCAGCCTGATGTTCATTGTCTGGCTGGTGTCCTCACCCCTGGTGTGTTCTTGGACGTTTACCAGGTAACATTCTCTCTGCTGGTCGCCCAGCAGAGGTGTTAAAGGTAACCTATATATTGCAGAACCACGAGGTTTGCTTAAAAAGCAACAGATAACCCCAAATAGAGACCTTAAAAATTTTGGGGGGGTGGTATTGAAAGTAGATACATTTTTTGTATTCCTGTTTTCTGTTGGGAGTTTTACCCAGATCTCTTATCTGTACAAACAGCATATCAGAAAGCTCTGCTGACCCCTACATTATGTAGCTATCTCCCTCATCTTTTTTTACCACTGAGATGGAATCAGCTGTGTAGTTTATCTTTCCTGCCTTGTATCCTTGGAGTTGAACGGTTTACAGTCTACTGATAACAGGACACAGATCATTTAACCTTGGTGTAGAGAGAATATACCCGCAAAGTAGACCTAAGAATTCTCCTTGCCTATATAACCTCGTTCAGAATTGCAGATTGCCTATTATCCTTTTTTTATTTTTTTCCCCAAATCATAGAGATCATTAATTTACTGCCTGTGTCTCAGATCAGCTCAATATCTCTGTGGAAGTATGTCTAACCCTTAATACCACCAGCAGCTAAGTGGGCAACTCCAGCAGCTAAGTGTATCATGGCCGAGGCAGAAAGAATACATACAACTCTGGAGCAGTTAACGCACTCTAACGAGTTCTTGAATGCTTCCTGCAAACACATGATCCTCCTTTTGTCAAATAGGCAGTACAGATAATGACAAAATACAAAGCCAGCCACCACAAACTGTAACTAGAAATCAGAAACAGGAGACCCTTTGAAAATGGGATGATGACAAGGAAATAGAAGGCCCCTTCCTACTCAGTGGGTCCATTTCACTTGAAGTGAGAGTAATAATCTTGGCACCTCCCTGACTTTTTATGAGTGTTTTTTTCTTTAGCACTTTATAATCTAATTTGGGGAGGAGAAGAGGTGGCAGAAATGGGTATATAATAAATGGCTTTTTTAAATAAACAAATCAAAGAAAGCGAATAGGTGCCTAAAGGCTTAAATATGTCTTTGAATGGCAAATTATTTTGGCAGCATATGTATTCTTATATGGGTAGATTTTCTGTAGTTTCTTTGCTCCCTCTGGGCTACCGTTGATGCCTCACTAACACCTTGGTCACTCATTTTTGTCTCTTGTATTTCACATGATACGTTAAGGGAGAATATCATACAATAAAAATCCAAAATGTTAAAACCAGAGCAGCAGAGAAGGTTGTCTATATAGTATTTACCTCCACATCATAGGTGGAGAAACCAACACGACCAAGCTCAAGATAGCTTATCTGGGACTTCTGGGCAGTTTGCCTCATCAGTCTTGTTTTCCCTTTGGGGCAGAGGTAAAAGGAAGCACAGTGAAGACATTTGGAGTCTAGGAGAAAAACCATCTTAAGGAATGGATTTACTGCGTATAGGAAGGAGACCTGTTGAACTGTTAGGCACCATTTACTCATTGTTTCTGCTCTAGGGAGATTTAACCATATTACTCAAAGGGTGGTACAAGCATTCTTGTGAAGCACAAATGCCTACTTGGACTGACAGACTTGCAGTTTTTACCTGTTTTTTTCTTATCCTGATAAAGAAGGAGGTTTAGCCAAGAATTGGACCGGATAACCTTTATTCCCCTTCTTGTAGCTGATCGCGTTACTCAAACCGGTACAGTAGGAATTAACAAGGCTTTTGATATTAAAGTACAAATTAGTAGACCGCTTACTGCATTAAAAGCTCATCAGCTCAGTGAACAAAATGAAAAGCTGTGTTTTCTGAACCACACTGAACAATTCTACCTAATTGACATTCTTTAATTCTATATGCCTGGGAAGATTTTTTTTTTTTAATTGATAATCAAAAGGGGTTAAGACAGGGAGTTAGTCACGAAAACAGTGGCAACATTTCAGAAACTAAATCTGCTTTAGGTTTGAAAATGGGAAACAATTAACCGTAGGCCCAGAAGCATTTCCTTTTAATTTACTCCTTTCTGTTATATAAAATTTAATTTACTGCCTGTGTGCCTCATTCCAACTATTATTAGAAAATTGCCCTTAAATTTCGAAAGTATTATATGTAAAAGCTCTTTGCAAGCGCTGGTACTAAACTTCAGCAAGGAGAATAGGACAGCTAAATATGCTGAAATTGAAGTCATTCCACCATTGAGCAGGGAAATAATTTAGCAAAATCAGGTTAGATCTCTTTCAGTAAAATGACAATTTCATATGCGTACTTTCCCATTTTCTGATAGCCAGCTGTATAAGAAGAACCATTTAAAGTTATGCCATCCATACGGTATTATATTTTCAGGGTTATTCTGAACGTCCCTTAAGTTTTCCTTTTTTTCTTTTGTTGCATGAAATTAAATTTATTACCTGAGATATTATTAAAATAACTCTAAGTGTCCTTCACTCAGCCTTCCTTGATAAGAACTGTATTTTGCTTTCTAAGACCATCTCCCATGATAATGTTCTGTCGATGATGTCTTGGGCATTTCAGCTTAATTAGCTGATTGTGATACTACTCTCTACTATTCCTCCTTCCTCAGTTTGCATCCTCCACATTCTATTATGAACTTGATCTCATTTAAAGCTGCCCCTTCCATATGGCAGTCGCTTTTGATTGATTTGCTCTTGCCATGTTTTCCTGATGAATCCTGAGTCAGAAGGAATCCGAGACATTTCTTGTTCTCCCACAGCGTATGTGGGTTTGGGTGCTGAGGAGGCGGGCATGGCAGCTGGAGGCTGGCTCTCGGGGGCTGGACGGGCACACACTGGTCGTCATTACCACGTAGGTTCGAGTGTATGTGGCTTTAGAAGCAATTTCTCATTTCCAACCAACTTGCTCTATGTGTAACTGGATTTTTTCCTCTTTTAGGTGATCACAGACTTGGAGGAGCAGCTAAACCAGCTGACAGAGGACAACGCCGAGCTCAACAACCAAAACTTCTACTTGTCTAAACAACTTGATGAGGCCTCTGGTGCCAACGATGAGATCGTGCAGCTGCGAAGTGAAGTGGACCACCTCCGCCGCGAGATCACCGAGAGGGAGATGCAGCTCACTAGCCAGAAGCAAGTAAGGACCAGGAGTAAACCTGGAGTCCCTTTAGATTCTGGGGCGAGTGCCAGTTACATCTCTCCCAGTGTTCTCAGACTGAGCCTGTCAGTAAAAGTAATCATGTCAGTGCTTTGGAGGTTTGCAAGTTTTAACAACAGCTTTTAGAAGTGTGTAGTTTGGGTTTTTTTGTTTCATTTTTTTTTTGGCCACCCCACATGGTTTGCAGGATCTTAGTTCCCTGACCAGGGATCAGACCTGTACCCCTTGCAGTGGAATCGCAGTCTTAATCACTGGACCATCAGGGATGTTCCATGTATAGTTGTTCTTAATTTTGCTTTAAAACCATTAAAAATAGAATAGAATGCTTTTGTGAGCCACTTTATTTATTTTTTTAAAACCTTTTTTGGCCGAGCTGTGAGGCTTGTGGAATCTTTGTTCCTCACCCAGGGATTGAACCTGAACTTTCGGCAGGGAGAGCTGGGAGTCCTGGCCCTCCTCTGAGTTCTTTCTGTAATATTTTGGTAGAAATGGCCCTTCATCTGTTCTTGTCTAATCCCCTTGGCCTGTAGGAGAAAAAGATAGTGACTTTCAGACTGTAGTTAGAAGCTCATGCTTTTCTGAAACTGATCTGATAAAAGTACTACCCGGGAAATCCTCATTTGCTGTGAGGCATAACTCAGTGCTGCTGATTTGCAGACGATGGAGGCGCTGAAGACCACGTGCACAATGCTGGAGGAGCAGGTCATGGACCTGGAGGCCCTGAACGACGAGCTGCTGGAGAAGGAGCGGCAGTGGGAGGCCTGGAGGAGCGTCCTTGGTGACGAGAAGTCCCAGTTTGAGTGTCGGGTTCGAGAGTTGCAGAGGATGCTGGACACCGAGAAGCAGAGCAGGTGGGACTTCATGTGGGTAGAGAGCCAGCGGCAGGTGGCAGCGGCAGGGTCACCCTGAGACCTCCCAGCAAGTGCCCCAGCTTGACCAGGACTGAGCAGGTGCTGGGAGGTAAGACTTAAGTGTTAAAGCTGGGAGACTCAGGCCTACCAGGATCGGTCAGTCATCCTCGAGGTAAATACGGACGGTGCCAGTGGCAGGAGATGATGGTCAGTCAGCCAGTAGTACAGGGCCCTAGGAATCAGCAGGGCAAAACATCTTAGTGCTTCCTTTGTAGAAACTCTTTCCTTGGATTTTTGTGTCATTGTGACTGTGTAGCGAGACTGGCACTCTGCTTTTTTTTTTTTTTTTTGAATATTTATTTGGCTGCACTGGGTCTTGATTGTGGCATGTGGGATCTATTAATAGTTCCCTGACCAGGCATTGAACCTGGACCCCCTGCACTGGGAGCACAGAGTCTTAGCCCCTGGACCTCCAGGGAAGTCACAAGACCGTCACTGTTTTGATCCTTATCATGTGTGATGCAAATCAACCCTCTACACCAGCTTTGGCACTCTGGACAGTTGGGGCCGGACAGTCCTTCGTGATGGAGGCGTGTCCTATACATGGTAAGGTGCTGAGCAGCTGCCCTGGACCTGCCCCACTAAGTCCCAGTAGCTGCTCCCTCTTCAAGTTGTGACCAGGAGAAACGTCTCCAGACATTGCCCGGTGTCCCCTTGGGGGTGGGCAGCTGCCCCCAGTTAAGAACAACTGCTCTACAAGAATAGTTTACAGGTTTTTTTTTTCCTTTCCTGGTAGGCAGAAATAATCCTGAGTTCAGGTAGTATCTTTCTTCTACTTCCCCAGTTCTCCCAGCGTAGGATTCCCTCCTGCCAGGGTCGCAGGTGTGCAGGTTACGCACTGCGTGCTGCTGGGAATAGACTTGAAGATCTACCATGACATTCTACCAGCTCATGGTGGGAAAGTGTTTGTTCTAACAAAACCAGTATATTATGACAGTTTACCAACAGGTAGAAGTGCATGGTCTTAAAGAACACACGCCTTTCCTAGTTTGCAGAGAGGTACCCTGTGGGCCGGTATCCACCTTGTGCTTCATGTCTGCCCGACCGAATCCTATTCATCCTGCATAGCCTCACTCATAGCACCTTTCGCTGAAACTTACTGTCCCGTAATACTCTGAACTCCCTGAGCAAGCTAACTATTCGTGGAAGTATTTATCATTTATCTGGACTCTGTCAGACTTGTTTCAGTATTTACCACATTTGGTGGACCATAGTAGACTCACGGCTGTCTTAGATGTATAATTTGTGTTAAAGACTGGAAGCAAAGGGAACCCATAAGTTTCAAGGGAAACTGGTAGAAATATTCTCATGTTGGACATCTTCCCTTTCAGGGTATTTGCTAATGTGAGAGGGCTGCTGGTTTAAGACTTCTTGTTACTGTTTACCCCTGAACTCTTGAGCTCCCACGTCCTCACCGTATGTTCTGACTGTTCTCACACACACCCCTCCCTCCCACTCTCAAGTCCAGCTCCTAGCTCAGCTGTTTCTAGAGTCCTTTGTAGACAGGTTCGGGGTCAGAGTCTGACCATAGCATCAAGAATGCACAACCATGTGTGAAAGTGTTCTCTGGTGGCGCTAGTGGTAAAGAACCCACTTGCCAATGCAGCTGACTTAAGAGACTTGGGTTCCATTCCTGGGTGGGGAAGATCCCATGGAGGAGGGCATGGCAACTCACTCCAATATTCTTGCCTGGAGAATCCCATGGACAGAGGAGCCTGGTGGGCTACAGTCCATAAGGTCTTAAAGAGTTGGACAGGACTGAAGCAACTTAGCACACACATAGGGAGATCTTTCGTATATTTCTTTCAGGAGCAATTGTGAGAGATCTTGGCTCTCACCCCGCCCCCATTTTTTCCCCTCCTTCCTCTATTTTGGTGTTGTATGGGATCTGAGATGAGTAAAATATAATTCTTATTTTTTAAAAAATATTTATTTATATGTTTGGCTGTGCCTGTTGTTAGTTTTGGCATGTGGGATCTAGTTCCCTAATCAGGGATTGACCTTGGCCCCCTGCATTGGGAGTGAGAAGTCTTAGCCACTGGACCACCAGGGAAGTCCCTAAAATATAATTCTTAATTCTTGTCTTCTAGAGGCTAAGAGTCTAGTGCAGGAGATAAACTATGCGTTGAACTATTTATCACCTAAAATAGAGAGTGGGTTGTGCCAGGCCAGTAGGACATTTATGCTTTGGGTCCAGAACAAGAGGTTACTTCTGAGAGGAAGACTGGGAAGGGCTTTGTGACGGACATGGCCTTCAAGTTTAGCCTTGGAGTCTGAGTAAGACTTGGGTTTGTTGGGTCAAGAAGGAGAGCTGCTGGTGAAGGAGGATGTGCAAGTCCAGGTATGGAAGCAGCAAAACAGAAAACCTGAGTTGGGGAGGGGAAGTGATGTTTTCTAGTGTGCTTCAAGTTTTTTTCTTCTGTCACCTTATTTACAGGCACACCCGGCAGATTCAAGGTTCAGTTTCCAGAACACTTCAGCTCTTGCTTTAAGGAGAGGCAGTGTTTGCTCGAATGGGGCCCCACATGGTCCCCTGCACTGTGCTCCTTCAGTGGGACCTCATTCCTTCCTGCTTCTGCAGGAGGGTGTAACTAACAGTCTTGCCATTTTCAGCCCAGTTGCATTTGGAAAAATGCCTCCTCCCCTTCAGCCCTTCCAAGTGCATTTATATTCACAGGAACCTTACCTGCTAAGAGTATTTTTACCCAGGACCTAAAGTGGGTCACATCCTCACTCCACGTAATCTGGAACAAGGGATCCATCCGGCTGTGCTCTCTCCAGCCCGCAGCCTGTTTGGTTGCTCATCTGGCTCCAAGCTGGGCCAGCTTCCTTCCTGCAGGGTGGGGGTTTCTGAACGTGCCTGTGTCTCCCCGCAGGGCGAGGGCCGACCAGCGGATCACTGAGTCGCGCCAAGTGGTTGAGCTGGCAGTGAAGGAGCACAAGGCCGAGATCCTGGCCTTGCAGCAGGCTCTCAAGGAGCAGAAGCTAAAGGCTGAGAGCCTCTCCGACAAGGTCAGCCCCCGTCCCTCCTGCCTTCTAGATATACACGTACACTTCTTTCTTTCAGCAGGTATTCACATGCGCTTGATCCGTGGTTGGCGTGTTTAATAAACCAAGTCTCGCTGTTGTGCTGCCCCAGGGGACACCCTTGGTTTGCAGTAGTGGGGGTGGTGGGTACTTGGGGTATCAAGAGTTGGTCAATGACTTCCTAACATCTACCCATCAGGGCCCCCGAGGTCCAGGTTTTGACCTGGGTGCACAGCACTCTTCTTTTTTGACATTTGATTTCTGAAAGCCTTCATGGATCTAGTGTTGAGCATCCTTGGGAAGTGTGGAGTGGCTAGGACTCCTGCTCATTCCATTGCTGCAATGGCAGGAAGCTTCAGCGTCTCTGGGTTCTGAGTCCAAGGACACTGCAAGATCTGAGGACAGTGCAGGTCCTCATATTCCACTTTGGAAATATACACGTCCTGTCCATGACAGCACTCTATATTTACAAAGTGACATACTGGTGTTTGAAAATTTTTAATAGTCTTTAAAAGAGATTTAGAATAGGTGCTTCTGTGTTATAGATAACAAGAGTGAAGGTCAGAGAAATTTCATATATATACACAGACTGTTTCATATATACACATACACACTGTTTTGTGTGCATGTGCACCCACACACAAACACACACACATAATCTGACTTCTGAATTTTGGGTAACTTAATTTCCTGATTATAGAAGTGATTATTTGGTGTCATTGTGGAAGATATAGAAACCATAGAAAAGTAAAGAAAAAATAGCTGGTAATCTGTCACCACTCTTAATGTTGGTGAATTTATATTCATTTATTTATATTGATAAATTTAGGTTCTTATTATATAAACAGGATTACATCATTTTTTTTTAAAAAAGAAATCACGTAAATAGGGGCTTTTCCTGAATTAGTGAATATTTTTTGAATATCTAGAACTGATGTTCTAGAAACATCAGTTACACAGCGACACCTATTTTAATCATTCTGCTTGTGTTAGAAATTTGAACTGCTTCCAGTTTTTTTTTTTTTGCTGTCATAAATAACATTGTGATGAATGTAAATCTTTATGGGCATCCACGGTTATTTTCTTACCGGAATTTCATAGAAATGACCAGATTCAAGCTAGAGCTTGCTACTCAGGAATATTCCTGAGTTCCTTGGTATTGGCTTACTAATTTTTTTAACCATGAGGAAAGTAAATATGTTACTTAACCATGAAAAAAGTAAATGTATTATTTATAGGTAAATGAGCTTTTTGGTGTTTAGCTTGAAGGACATTTTTTTCTACCTGACTGTTCCTAAAGTATTCAGTAGCAAAGTCCTGCCCATCCTTTAAGACTCCAGACTTTCTGACCCCATCTTCTCCCAGTGACAGGCCATTCAGGATGAATTTCTCTCCTCCATACCTCTTATCAAAATCATCACTTGACAGAGTAGTCACTATTTGTGTACATGTCTGCTTAAGGGCCACCCTCTGCCTTTGTGACTTGATACAAGATCCTTGAGAGAGCTTGTCTGCCCTTTCGTCCCAGAGTCCCTGGTATTATCCCATGCAAGTAAGCAAGCATTTGGAATATGATGATTTAATTCAGCCAAAGCATGTCAGATAAGTAAATTTTAGAGAAGTCATCTTTCTAGAGCTTGTCACAGCTAGCTACACGTATGACCCATCCCTTAGAAATAACATCTTCTCCTAACAGAATAACCTACATAAGGCTTAACTCTGACATGGATGTTTGTGGTACTTTTAAAAACCTGTATTTATGTTCTGACCCTTAGAACCTGATTTTTCTTTGGCTGTGAAAGTTTGTGAATATTGGCAAAAGTCGTTAGCATATAACGTTCCTAAATGTGGTTACACGGCCAATTTTTCCAAATGTCCAGCTCAATGACCTGGAGAAGAAGCACGCCATGCTTGAAATGAATGCCCGAAGTTTACAACAGAAGCTGGAGACAGAACGAGAGCTCAAACAAAGGCTTCTGGAAGAGGTGGGTGTAAGATGCCTGGTAAATAGAGCTGGGCGTACTCTCAGAAGTGAACACTTATCCTCAGCTGGGCAGGTCCAAATTAAGAAATTCAGATTTCAAGGTTGAAATTCTCAAGGAAGAGTAAGATGGTCACTGGGTACTTTCTGGAAGGTGTTTAACACATTAAAAGAACATGTCAAGAAGCCCTGGGGCCCTCTTTGTCATTGTGTCCTCCCAAATAGTGCTTAATGCACTTGATCTTAGCCGAAAGGCCGAGAAGCGATCCAAATAGTGCTTAATGTAGTGTCAAACACATAGTGAGTATGTGCTAACCGGAAGTTTATTAAATATGAGGGCGAATAGATATTGAGTTAAATTGTTTTTTAGAGTTAATATCCAGAGTATATTAAGTTTGCAGCCTGATTAGCTTTGTGCACGGAACAGAGACCTGATCAGGTTATACTGAATACCCAATCTCATGAAAACTTTTGAACATCCTATTAATTCAATGCAAAAAAAATGACGCCCTGCTTTTGAGAGACAAAACAAAAAGCTCAAATTGATCTCCTAAACCAGTCCAATCCTTATGTTATTTCCTGTACCTTTGAATAGAATTCTGAAAATCTGTGTTTAAATTGAGGACTACACCCCCAACCAAAGCCTTGGTTTGGTTGAATCACTGATAATTTGTCTTCGTTCATTAGAATTGACCTGTCAGTACAAATGCACTTTTAGGTACTTCAGGAGAAGTTAGACTCAAGAGTGTTCTGTTTAAGCCACAAGGAGCCTGACAGTTGAATCAACCAGGTTATCTGTTCTGGTAAATTGAGGTTTTAGGGGCTCTGCTGGTAGAAGTATTGTAACTATGGTATTAAGTTTGAAAAATGTGCTGTACATTTTGCAGGGGAGCATAAAATGTTTTCTAGAATGACTTTTAAAAATATAGCTGGGAAAGTTCTGGAGATGGATCCATGATGATGCACAACCACATGGCTCTACTTAATGCCACCAAACTGTAGGATTAAAAATGATTAAAAAAAAAAATGATTAAGGTGGGGACTTCCTGGCAGTCCAGTAGTTAAGATTCCATGCCCCCAATGCAGAGGGTGTGGGTTCGATCCCTGGTTAGGGAACTAAGATCCTACACACTGTATGGTGTGGCCAAAAATAACACAAATGATTAACATGGTGAATTTTATGTATATTTTACCACAACAAAAAAGTTTTTAAATAAAATCAATACTACGCACACATGGGTGGAAAGGTCACCAAAGGTGACCCTCAGAATATTATAATAGAAATTTTTAAATCTTTCTGATTGTCAAATAGAGAATGACAAGAGAGAGTGATAAAAGAATGGTCTTTTATCTGGAATGACTAGGCAGTGTCCCCACTTTGGACACACATTGGAAACAGGAAGCACAGAAATAATCAGTGATCTCGCCTGTCCTCTTTTCCTTCCGAGGAAAGAGCGTTGGCCCCAACAACTCAGTGCTTTGGTCCAAGGTTACGTGGTGAGTCAGTGGCAAGACTAGGAATAGAAGGCTGGCATCCTGATTCAGTCCCCTGTTCTCACTTCTAAAACTACTGGGGAACATTTCCAGTTCCCCTGTCTGCACCTCACAGAGGGCTTTTTGAACACAGACATCTGGCTGCACTGGATTGGAGGCAGATCTCACTGAGAGCTGAGAGCACTAGGAAACGCAGTGATCTTTGCCACCAAGGCCGCGGCTGGCATCCTGGCCTGGGGTGGGCCCTGTGTCAGCAGGTGGTCAGGGCTCAGCTTGCCCGTCCTGTCCATCAGGTGCAGACGCTGGTGAGCGGGGCCGGGATCAGCCTCAGAGCCGGAGGGCATTCCTGTGTGTCACTAGTGCACGTTCCCAGCACTTGCATCACTGTTTCTTTTACCCTTTCCCTGGCAGACTTCACTGACAGAGCTTTCTCTCAAATCTTTTCTCTCGGGCCCAAAGTGGCCTCCGAAACTCTTCTGACACTGCTGTTTACAGGCATGACTAGTCCCGACTTGAAAGTACTGCCAGAGCTCCAAGTCCATTTGCTAATCCTGTCAAATAATCCCCCTTCTGAGGTAGAGAATCCCTTCCCCAGCCTCCCTCACGGGTGGGCCTTGGGGCACCTGGGCCTCAAGACTTAAACTGACTCAAGATTGCCCAGCTCATTTTTCTGGCAACTCTTAAGTCTTGGAAAGTCCTTTCTGGTTTTGAACTAAAGCCTGTAACTTCCAACCATTGGTTCTATTACAGCAAAATATTTGAAAACAGAGAGTAGAGTAGTCTCATATTTCCAACCAAAGTAGGAGGTTAATATTGATTAATGAACATATTACTTGATTAATAATAAAAATAACTTGCTTTTCTTTTTTCTTTTATTATTTTAAAAAATAACTCATGTTTAATTTAGCACATACCACATGCCAGATGTCTGAATACTTTCTTGAATTAGCTCATACACTCCATGTGATACTTCTGTGAGAGAGCTACTTTTTATTTTATTATCCCTATGACAGTGGATTTGATATCTCTTCAGCTCTCCTGATTCCATATCACCTTTTCTTTTCTAACTGGAACATTTCAAGTCGCACCATGATTGGGATGTCCTCTTCTGGTAGGTTTATCTTTCCGAACAGCTCCTAGAAGTCCTTGGGGTTCGAACAACACGGAGTAGTGGGCTGGCCCCACCACCATCCTGGGCTCTTGGGGTGGCTTATCACACCACTGACACCCATTGATCTGTTAGATCACCACCAGCCCTTCTACATGTTTTTGTTTTGTTTTTTAAAATACATCTTTATTTATTTGAAGTTTTTTTTTTTTCTTAAATACCATCCCATTAAACCTTGTCTTGTTGGTTTGGTCCATCCTTCTAGTTACCAGGGTTGTTTCACACTCTAGTTCTGTCGTCTAGTTCCTCTGTGCTTCCTCCCAGTTTCCTGTCACCATCATAAAATTGGTGGACAGACCTAATCATGTGGCTGGAGCCCTCCTTTCAGTCTAACACCAACCAGGAATAGCCTCCATTTACTGCTCTCTGGGAAGCAGGTAAATGGTTCTGGAAAACATTTCATTGAGCACAAATGTCACTCTTACTTGTTTTCTATTGTAGTAAATAAGCAACCTATTTCTTGGAAAGCTAATGGACAGTTGATGTGTTGATTCTAGAGAAATATTTTGGACCTGGTTGTTACCAAACAGATTCTTGTCCCTAGTACTTGTTTCTCTGCTTCCTGCCTAGTAATTAGTGTTGTCCTAAAATAGCGGAAGGAAACTAAAGAGGGTAATTTGCAGAAGTAATCATTTGTGCTACAGGGGACAGATAGCTCCCTGGAAGAGATTATCTTAGCTGTTTTCTCTCTTTCCTTTCTCTGTATTTTAGGGTGTTCTGTGGTTTGATTCAGAAATTCTAGGTCATGCACCCAGGGCAGGTGATTCTGAGTTAGTATCAGTACCTCTTGCTTTACAGAGGATGGATGGAGAGGGGCTGGTGGAGTAGGTTGGGGTAGGAAGGGAAGATGGAAAAATGATAGTCCACACCTGGACTGGATTGAGAGAAGAAAGAAGGATGAACGAGGCAGTGCTGAAATTCATCAAGCATCTACTGTATGCTGGGCACTGGGCTTGGTGTGTGACCCAGAGAAGGGGGTTGTTACCTCCACTTGCAGATGAAGAGACTGAGGGTCTGAGAGGCAGTGAGCCACCCCTGGCATAGAACTGATAAGAGTTAAAGTCAGGGGACTTCCCAGTTGATCCAGTGGCCAAGACTCTGTGTTCCCAACACTGGGCTTGAGTTTGATCCCTGGTCAGAGAACTGGATCCCACTTGCCCAAGCTAAGACCCGGCATAGCCAAATAAATACTTTTTTAAAAAGTCAGGATTTGAACCAGGGTCTGGAATGTTCTTTTCCATGACACCATGATGCCTCAGAATCAGCTGCCTCTCAAGAGGAAGGGCATTCAGCAATCCCACTCCTGGGCATACACACCAAGGAAACCAGAGATGAAAGAGACACGTGCACCCCAATGTTCATCACAGCACTGTTTATAATAGCCAGGACATGGAAGCAACCTAGATGCCCATCAGCAGACGAATGGATGAGGAAGCTGTGGTACATATACACCATGGAATATTACTCAGCCATTAAAAAGAATTCATTTGAATCAGTTCTAATGAGATGGATGAAACTGGAGCCCATTATACAAGTGAAGTAAGCCAGAAAGATAAACACCAATACAGTATACTAGCACATATATATGGAATTTGGAAAGATGGTAACGATAACCCTATATGCAAGACAGAAAAAGAGACACAGATGTATAGAACAGACTTGGACTCTATGGGAGAAGGCGAGGGTGGGATGATCTGAGAGAACAGCATCAAAACATGTATATCATCAAGTGTGAAACAGATCGCCAGTCCAGGTTGGATGCATGAGACAAGTGCTCGGGGCTGGTGCACTGGAATGACCCAGAGGGATGGGATGGGGAGGGAGGTGGGAGAGGGGTTCAGGATGGGGAACACATGTAAATCCATGGCTGATTCATGTCAATGTATGGCAAAAACCACTACAATATTGTAAAGTAATTAGCCTCTAACTAATAAAAATAAATGAAAAAAAAAAGAGAAAGGGCATTGAGGAGTAGAAATGGACATGCAAATGTCAGTGGAGGGAAGAGAAATATGGTGGTGAGGTTTCTGTGATTTCCGAGGTCATCTGTAGCTCTCGTCCTGCTGGGGCAGAGAGCACTGAGGTTTGCCCTCGCCTGTTGGGAAAGCCCCATGGTGATGGGGAGCAGCTGTTTACCGCTCTCTGTTCTTCCGTCTGCAAATGGTCTAGGCCCCTGGGGAAGGGAGTGTTGGGCTACTGCTACTATAGTTAGACTGGACGCCAGGGGTTGGGTGAAACCAAGCAATATCCTGTCAGGATAGCTGTGCTCTTCTGCTTTTTAGAAACAGAAGCATTTTAGGTAGAGAGCCATAAAGCCAGTATCTTTATCGCCTGCCCTATTTTCTGGTTGACTTCCACTGTAGAAAAGAATTGGAGAGAGAGTTCTCGCACAAAACTATTTGCAATATTCTAAACAGAATTTTGTTCTCTATGGGTTTTACTGACACTCGTACTGACCCTGGGATCATCCCCCTTCCCCTCGTGGGAGCACCCTCTCCTTCCACTGTGGCTGTTGGTGCGCTTGTTGGTCTCTCACTGATGCCGCGACCTTTGCGTTAAAGGTGCTATGACTCCCTTTTGTGTATGCCACACGGAGAATCACAAAGTGAGTTCTCTCAACAGTGGTTGAGATAACTGCTAATGCATCATTGTGGAATATAGGACCATTGGTCATCCTGGAATGAGCTGAAATTTTGGTGCCACATATGAAATGAGTCTGAGTGGGGACAGTGAGGGAGCATGTTGCATTGTGTGTGGTCTGAAGCTTCTCTCTCCGGCCTCTCCCCCCACCAGCAAGCCAAGTTACAGCAGCAGATGGACCTGCAGAAGAATCATATTTTCCGTCTGACTCAAGGGCTGCAAGAAGCTCTGGATCGGGCTGATCTGCTGAAGACAGAAAGGAGTGACCTGGAATATCAGCTGGAAAATATTCAGGTGAGAACCAGCACTGGGGGCTTACTGAAAAACTGTCCACAGAGGCAGAGTGTGATGGCTCAAAGCCACCTGGCAAGATGAGCAGTCTCATTGTGTTGTGTATTTTCACCAGTATTTTATTATGATAACTTTTCAAATGTTAAGAGAAGCTGGGAAATTTCTATCATGACCACCCTCTAAATTCTTCTACTCACCATTTGCTATTTTTGCTTTTTCACGTATCTTTGTACTTGAGTCTGTCTTTGTTGGGTGGGAGGGTGGGGATGGCGGGCAGTAAGATCAGGACTAAGTAAATAACAATTGGCTCAGTGTGCCCATTATACAGAGTGAAGTAAGCCAGAAAGATAAACACCAATACAGTATACTAACGCATATATATGGAATTTAGAAAGATGGTAACAATAACCCTATATGCAAAACAGAAAAAGAGACACAGAAGTACAGAACAGACTTTTAGACTCTGTGGGAGAAGGTGAGGGTGGGATGTTCTGAGAGAACAGCATTGAAACAAGTATACTATCAAGGGTGAAACAGATCACCAGCCCAGGTTGGATGCATGAGACAAGTGCTCAGGGCTGGTGCACTGGGAAGACCCAGAGGGATGGGATGGAGAGGGCGGCGGGAGGGGGGATCGGGATGGGGAACACATGTAAATCCATGGCTGATTCATGTCAATGTATGGCAAAAACCACTACAATATTATAAAGTATTTAGCCTCCAACTAATAAAAACAAAAATGGAAAAAAATAAAATATTTGATAAAAAAAGAAAAAAAATAAGAGAATGATATTAATAATATTTTCAATAATAATAAAGGAAGATATTTTGTGTGAAAAAAAATAATTGGCTCAATGTGGCTTTTGTTGAATTTTTCATTTGTTAGTGTGGTAATGACCTTATTTCTTATTAAAGTATAAAATTTAAAAGTATACTTCTTTTGGCATCTGAGGTGCTTTTTGTTTTCATAATTCTTAGGTTCTCTATTCTCATGAGAAGGTGAAAATGGAAGGCACTATTTCCCAACAAACCAAACTCATCGATTTTCTGCAAGCCAAAATGGACCAACCCGCCAAAAAGAAAAAGGTGGGTCAGAGGGTTTGTGAAGCAGGGAGTGGACGGTTTTGCTCAGTCATGATGACTCCGTGAAGGTCATTGGGTTAGATAATCCTAGGAACATCGGAGGAAACAAAAAGAGAGGCTGTCACTCTGGAATCTGTGACACACTATCTGTGTTCGTGGCCTTTAAAGCTGTGCTGCCTTCCTCTGTGAAGGAGTGAGATTTTTTTTCCCCCAAGCAGCTGGGGAGGAGGAGGCAGCAGAGAGGAAGGCCAAGTGTTCAGGTTGGCATCCCAGATTCCAGAGGGGGTTCTCTGCTCGTGTGTAAGGGACTCTAGAGAGATTAGAGGTCACTTGTGTGCCTTTCTGGGACTTCCCAGGTGGTGCTAGTGGTTAAGAACCCACCTGCCAATGCAGGTAGATGTCAGAGAAGCGGGTTTGATCCCTGGGTTGGGAGGATCCCCTGGAGGAGTGCACAGCAACCCACTCCAGGATTCTTGCCTGGAGAATCCCATGGACAGAGGAGCCTGGCGGGCTACAGTCCACAGGGTCACACAGAGTCAGACGTGACTGGAGAGACTGAGCACGCACACACATGGGATCTAGACAGAGAGGGGCTCTTAGGTCACAGGGACGGGACTCCAGAGGTGTTCATAGGTCATCTGTGTGGGGCCTGAGAAAGAACCTCAGGTCATGCACAAGGGACTCCAGAAAAACTAGACATCATCTACTCAGTCCCTCTGATTGGGTCAGTAGGAGACTGGGCCCAGAGTACTGCTGTGACCTGCCTAAAGTGTTGGACTGGATAGCTGGCCCCTCCATGGGGTGCTGGCCCCATCCCTCCCTTTAAAATGGTAACAATTTAAAACAATGACCAGGAGACACGGATGGACAGGCTGATAAATACACATTTAACTTTTTGAAAATTTTTAATAAGCCCAAAGCATGCTTCCCTGAACCACTGCAGCCTTCACGGTAATTTTGGCCAGGTGTTCTCAGTTTAAGAAGGTCTCTAAGGAGCTAGAAACTTCCCGAGGCACTCAGATGTCAGCATAGCATTGGTGATGGTACGGGAAGACCTCTGAAGACAGGCTACCGGGAGATGGGCTGAAGGCGAGGCTGATGTTCGCCTTCCGGAGAACAGAGCAGCAGGAAGAAAGAACAGCAGTGGTGGCTGTAGGACAAGGACGTCCCTGTGTGCTGTGTGACTGTGCTTGTATGTGCTGATGATGTTGAATCTTTTTTATTTTCGCAGTGGACTGTTATCTGATTATGTCATTTGATGTAGTCAGGGTGTTCCCATGTGTTTTTTGGTTGTTAATTTTGTTTTCAGTCTCATTATCTTATGTTTTACTTTTTTCCCCCATACACAATACATATTCCATTTGCATTTTTTTTCTTGGCATAAGCCCCTTGTGTTGACATCATTTTAGTATCTTTTTTTTTTTTTTAAAGCAACCACTCATCTCTGTGTCATATAACTAAGCATCATGAGACAAATTCAAGGCAAGATTTCTGAACCATCTCTCCTGATTCCATCCTCCACTTCCATTTTTTTTGAGGGTAAAGTCTCAGGAAATGGCTCTCCTTGGGATTGCTAAAGGAAGAGGTGGTGGCAATTCAAGCATCTTTAACCCTCTCGGTGAAAACTTCCGCAGCCCCATTTTTTTCCAGCCAGCTGGGAAGGGCTGTGGCTCAGTCCCCCCACCCCTTCACATGCCATTTTTACTAAACCCGCTTGCAGTGAGTATGCACCCGGCTCTCATGGTCTGCTCGTCCCGAGGCAGAGTTCCTTTAGTTAGTTCCCAGTGCCAGTTTCCAGGAGTTAGGAGATATCTCTGTTTCCATTGCTAGGGTTTATTTAGTCGACGGAAAGAGGACCCTGCTTTGCCCACACAGGTTCCTCTGCAGTACAATGAGCTGAAGGTGGCTCTGGAGAAGGAGAAAGCTCGCTGCGCGGAGCTCGAGGAAGCCCTGCAGAAGACGCGCATCGAGCTCCGCTCCGCCCGGGAGGAAGGTACGGGCGCTCTGGACAGTGAGGGCGGTGCGTCAGGCCGAGGGCGCATCTCAAGGAGATGAGCGGAGACTAGCTCAGCCTGGTGGTGACGGCACCCTCGGCGTGGCCCATATGGCACCCTGGGTGTCCTTGTGGTCTCAGGCCTTTGAGAGCCAGCCCCTGGGCAGTCCACTTGGTTGGGGCCTCTCGGGGACCCCACTAACCTAAAGGCGCTGGACTGGTCTCTTCCCAGCTGCCCACCGAAAAGCCGCGGACCACCCACACCCATCTACGCCGGCTACCGCCAGGCAGCAGATCGCCATGTCCGCCATTGTGCGGTCACCCGAGCACCAGCCCAGCGCCCTGAGCCTGCTCGCCCCACCGTCCAGCCGCAGGAAGGAGTCTTCCACCCCAGAGGGTATGTTCTCAAGGGGCCACTGGACCTGCATTGACATTTTTTTTTTTTTTAAATGGACTGAGAAATGCAGACCTAGGGTGAAAATGATAAGTCATAATGTGGAGGGCTAAAGAATAAGTAGTGAGCCTTCTCCCCACCCCAGTTCCCTTACCCAGAGTCAACCATTGTATTCTGCCAGCCATAGCTCATGAACTAATTGCATGTCCGTATTATTTAGGTGTCATATAATCATATTTAAGGGATATGAGAAAATAATAATCCTCTTTGCTTTCATAAATATCAGCCCACAGTACTCTACACTGCAGAACATCTTTCTTCTTTAATTAAAACGTCATCTTAGCAGGTTTCATATTAGCCCATATGGATTGACCCCATCTTTTTAGAGGACTGCGTGGTATTCCATGGTGGGGGTTTATAATTCACCTGTTAAGCCAGACCCCAGTTGACAAGCATTTAGGTTATTTCCAGTCCCTTGTTTCCATACACACCCTGCAGTGAACACTCTGCACAGCTATGGGTGCTATGACTTTTAGATAAGTTGTTGAGAACTGAATCACTGGGTTAAAGGTTGTGTGTATTCTGAAGGTTGGTTTTGCCAGTTTATACCAGTGGTGTGAGGAGTTTTCTTTGTGGTTTCAAATGTACTCTGTTTACCTAGAGATGGGATGGACTTTAAAAAAAGCCAAGGAAATTGGTTTGGAAAGTCACAGGGAGAGCAGAGTAGCTGGGGTTTAATATCAGGGTATCACCATCAACCCACTTCAGCTGCCAGTCTCGATGGAATTTTGTTGTCATTTCTTCTTTAGTAATGATGTCATCTTGTTTCCCATGTTTACATAACACCTTGAATCAAAGAGTTTCACTCTTATAAAGTCATCAAAGTGGTGCTGGTAACACAGAGGAAAATCATTCTGGCCCCTGTGTTCTTGCATGAGGTTGCACAGAGCGGCTCCCTGAGTAGTCTGTAACACTCCAAACATCTCCTTTGTGTGCATGGCATGTTCAGAGTGCATTTATGTTATTTATTTCACGACTTTTCTGTTAAAGGAAGAAGACAATGTTGTTCACAGAATTCAGTTTGGATTCAGAAATTTGGATCCTGAGCTCTGCTATTTAAAGTTGCCTTTACCTAGTTAGGTCAGTATTGAGAAGGGAGCCTTCTAAACAGAAAAAAATCAATCTTGTTAGTTTTAACTGACTGGAATTTAAATGCAAGAATCAGTTCTTTGAGACTTAAAACTTGGATTTTTTTAAAAAGAATGTTATTCATGGCAGAACTGGGCATGAAGGGGGACTTCTTCAGTCAGTCTATGTATTTAATAGTCAGAAAGTCTGTATTTCAGAATAGTAATTTTTTTTTAACCATAGTATAAACATACTTTAATTCTCATCAGTTACAGGCTTGCAAATTTCATGTTTTACATTAATAATTAATGCAAAACCATGGTTGGTACATCTGGAACTTAGTTCAGTTCATTTGCTGTGTTTGTTTACTCACACATTGGTTATGAAAATATTATAACACATTATTGGTCTTGTATTGAACAGAAATTCTCTATGAAATAATCTGAAGCAAGAAACTAAAATGAAGTCTTTAAAATTATTTAAATATGTTCAAGAATGGTGATTTTTAAACTGGATTCTGGAAAGCTCTCCATGGTCTCATCTGGAAAACATACCTTTCACGACTAAAATATTTACAAACAGCTGATTTAGAAGCATATGTTTCTTTATGCTCACAAACAGCTATGCCATCGTATTAACCATCTCCTACTGGGAATGCGTTTTTAAATAAAACCTAATTCCTAATAACCACATAATGGCGATCTTAATTTGATTCATATAAATCTAGACACATCTGTTAGTGTTAAAATAGTTTCACAGTCTGTCACTAAGATGCTCTATTTTTTTTAACAGCTTTATTGAGATATAATTCACATACCATACAATCCATGTTTGAAATGTATAATTCAGTGATTTTTTTTTTTTTTAAGTAAGTTCACAAGGTTGTGTAATAATCACACTTTAATTTTTAAAACATTTTTGGTCCCTCCACTTGACCACCAAAAAAAACCCCCATAAACTCATTGGCAGTTACTTGCCATTTCCCCCTTCACGGAACCTCTGACAGCCACCAGTCTGCTTTCTGTCTCCATGGATTTGCTGTCCTGGACATTTCCCGTAAAGGAAGCACCTTGTATAACTTTCTGTGTCTGGCTTCTTGCATGCAGCATAATGTTTTTCCGATTCATCCATCTTGTAGGATTTATCAGTTCTTCCCTTTTTTATGGTAGAATAACATTCTGTGGTGTGATTATCACATCTTGTTTATGTATTAATCTGTTGATGATCATTTGGGTTGTTTCCATTTATGGCTATCATAAATAAAACTGCCATGAACGTCTGTGCACAAATTTTGTGGCTACATGTGTTTTTAGTTCTCTTGGGTATAGACCTAGGAGTAGAATTGCTGGGTCATGTGGTAATTCTGGACTCCACAGTGGCTGTACCATTTGCTTTTCCACCAGCAGTGTATGAGGACCTTCATTTCTCCACATCTTCATCAACACCCATTTCCCATATTTTTGAGTCTAGATAATCCAGTGACCATGAACTAACATCTCACTGTGGTGTTCATTTGCATTTCCCTAATGAAGAATGATGTCAAGCACCTTTTCCTGTGCATCTTGGCCATTTATTTATCTTCTTCAGAGAGACATTTGTTCACATTCTTTGCCCACTTTTTAATTGGGTTGTCTTTTTAATATTGCATCATAAGAGTTCTTTCTACACCCTATCTACAGGCTCCTTGCCAGAGAGATGATTTGCAAATGTTTCTCCCATCCTGTGGGTGTCTTTTCACTTTCTTGATGGTATTATTTTGCAGCACTCTGATTTTTTAAAATAAAATTTCCCTCCAGAATTCAGCCGGCGTCTTAAGGAGCGCATGCACCACAACATCCCTCACCGGTTCAACGTGGGATTGAACATGCGAGCCACGAAGTGCGCCGTGTGTCTGGATACCGTGCACTTCGGACGCCAGGCATCCAAGTGTCTCGGTAAGAGTAGCCGCTGTGCATTTGTGGTGGGCCACCTGTGTATCTCCACTAAAGTTCTGTCCAGCAGTGTTTTTTTTTTTATTTAAACATTCCTCATCATATAGTCACTCAGTCATGTCTGACTCTTTGCAACCATGGACTGTATAGTCCATGGAATTCTCTAGGCCAGAATACTGGAGTGGGTAGCCTTGCCCTTCTCCAGGAGGATCTTCCCAACCCAAGGATCGAACCCAGGTCTCCTGCATTGCAGGTGATTTCTTTACCAGCTGAGCCACAAGGGAAGCCCAGGAATACTGGAGTGGGTAGCCTATCCCTTCTCCAGGGGATCTTCGCAACCCAGGAATCGAACCCNGTCTCCTGCATTGCAGGTGATTTCTTTACCAGCTGAGCCACAAGGGAAGCCCAGGAATACTGGAGTGGGTAGCCTATCCCTTCTCCAGGGGATCTTCGCAACCCAGGAATCGAACCCAGGTCTCCTGCTTTGCAGGTGGATTCTTTACCAACTGAGCTATCAGGGAAGCCCATCATATAGTGCATTCATTTTCACATGTTTAGTCTTAGGGGGAGGACACTGTTTTCCCCATGTTCAAGGAGGGAATTTATATGTATTTTCAGCCCATGTCTCCAGTCACCTGTGCAGAATGCCGTGGGCTTTGTAAACTTACAGGCTCCTTTCCCTCAGGGTGGTCTCTCCTCGCCTTTAAGCTGTGTCCTGGCTTCAAGAGAGATGTGCAGATGTGTCCAAAGGACATGCAGATGTGTTCTCTGCACACCTGTCTGTGGCAGCCTGGGAGGAGCCAGGAAGACTGGATTGAGAGAGCTTGGCTGTCTCCGTAGGGGCCTGGCTCCTGGGAAGGCTTAGGGAGGCCCTGGGTGGCAGGGCCAGGCCGGGTGTGGGCTGGGGGTTGGCTGGCGGAGTCAGGGAATGGCCCAGCATCAGTCAGGCATGTTTTCAGGTTGCTCACTGCTTTTCCCTAGAATGTCAGGTCATGTGCCATCCCAAGTGCTCCACGTGCTTGCCAGCTACCTGTGGCCTGCCAGCCGAATATGCCACACACTTCACCGAGGCCTTCTGCCGTGACAAGATGAACTCCCCGGGCCTTCAGTCCAAGGAACCCAGCAGCAGCTTGCACCTGGAAGGGTGGATGAAGGTGCCCAGGTATTGCTGCAGGGAGGTTTGGCCTGGCAGTGGGTGGGGAAGCTGATGAAGGGCAGCAGGATGTGCCGGTCTGCAAAAGGCCACTTTGGGGTAAAGGATTGTTTTGAGCTAAAGGCACTTAGAAAACGGCGGGTGCAAGAGGGACACTCTGACCTCCCCGATTTCTCCTGGAAAGTAGGGTATAAAACTCCCATGTCAAAGCTGTTCTTCCTGCATCAGGAGGAAAGAAGCATTCTTATCTTCAGATCAGGGGCAAGGCCGGCAGGGAGAAACCTAAGCGCACAGACCGTGTTACTTTTCCACAGTTAACTGTTCTTCGTTTGACTTAGGATATAAGCACTTGGGCCCATCTGCTTTGGGGGCTTTATTTGCTTGTTGGAGACTCCCACGTACACACAAAATTAAACGTGTGTGCGCGTCTCTCCTGCTCATGTGTCTTACATCAGTTGAATTCAGGGCCAGCCCCACAAGCCAGAGGGTAGAAGGAAGCTTTCCCTCCCCACCCTGGCATGTCATTCCTGTTGTTTTCCAGGGAAGCATCTTTACTGGGATTTCCTCTCCTCCCCACTCTTGCCTCCCACCTGATTCTTCCAAGTTCAAACAGCTCTTTCCCACGTCTGTCTTCCCAGGAATAACAAGCGAGGACAGCAAGGCTGGGACAGGAAGTACATTGTCCTGGAGGGCTCCAAAGTCCTCATTTATGACAACGAAGCCAGAGAAGGTAAATTAATGAGTCGGGGAACCTCGTTGCACGCGGTTGGCCCAGGTCTCCCAGTCTTGGCGTGAAGGCTCTTGTTTTCCGGACTGCGTTGCAAGCCTTCTACAAATTTTCCATTTTTGAAAATTAAAACCCAAATGACTCCGCTAAAGGTTATTGGTACGATACTCACGTCTATAGGTCTCCCCTCTGAAGACCCTGCAGGGTGCTGCCCTGAAGATTCCACCTGCTAATACACCTTCCGAGAACTTCCGCCTCAGCCAACTAACCCCTAAATCTGCATCGTCATCCGAAATTTGACTGTGCTCCTCATCTGACACACTTTACTTTTGTTTTTATCTTCCCTCTCTGCCTTCTCCGCACATCTTCTCCCTTCTCTGTTCTCGTGCGCCTCTCTTTCCACGCATACTCCGTCTCTCTCTCTTCCTCTCGTCTCCCCTTGTTCTTGTTCCTGTTCTTTTGTTTTTCTTTCTGCCCTTCCTCTTTGCACCAAGCTGGACAGAGGCCGGTGGAAGAATTTGAGCTGTGCCTTCCCGACGGGGACGTGTCTATTCATGGCGCCGTTGGTGCTTCTGAACTTGCAAACACAGCCAAAGCAGGTGAGGGGCGGCGGGCCCTTCCCCACCCCCCGAGGAGGTGGGCTGGGCTGCAGCCTTCGGCGCGGGTGGGAGGGGGCCTGTGCAGGATCAGCCCCCCAGCCCCCGCCTCCGCTTCTGCTAAGTAACTGGGACTTGGGTGGCTTGGCCCCCCTCCTGGTGGGGGTGGGCGAGCTCCACCCTGCGCTCTCTGCCCAATCTCCTAGATGTCCCCTATGTCCTGAAGATGGAGTCTCACCCCCACACCACCTGCTGGCCCGGGAGGACCCTCTACTTGCTGGCTCCCAGCTTTCCCGACAAGCAGCGCTGGGTCACCGCCTTAGAGTCAGTTGTGGCAGGTGGGAGAGTGTCTAGGGAAAAGGCGGAAGCTGACGCTGTGAGTATGCACGCAGGCCAGAGCCTGTGTTTGTAGAGGGGGCTGACTGGGTGGGGGTCCCCTCAGCCTCCCCCTCTGAAGGGTGATGGGATTGTGTGCCCCTAGAGATCCAGGCTTCCAGGCAGGCTCTGGCCTCACAGGTCCCCCCGCCTGAACCCTCTAGAATGAGGGAACCGGCACCGTTAGCCAGATCTTCAGGGCGTACTAGGTCTCAGTTCTGGCAGCACAGCTGCAAATTACTTACAAGGAAACGCTCGCTCTCCTTTACCCGAATGCGTTTACGTGATTCAAAGGTTTGTGTTACAAGCAGCACAAAGGGCTGCCGAAAGCCATGTCTCTTTCAGGAAGCTTTTTCATAACCTGCTCAATTGCTTTTACGTGATGTGCTCTTCTGAAGGCAGGTCTGAAATCCTACTTCTCCTGAAGATGTTAGAGACGTGGGTGGGCCTTGATTGGCATGACTCCTCCTGGAACATTCCAGGATACAAACAGTGCTCATCACGCACTTGCATTTCCACCACCAAAGCCCCAACAGCTCTTTTTAAACACTTAGCTCCTAATAAACACTTTAAGTGTTAGCAGTCGGAAGTCCTTAGCCACCAGCCTCCCTCTCACGAGAAAGCCCTGTGTTGATGACCCATCTCCCACGTTAGCCTTTAACTGAACGCCCCATCCATGTGTGTACAATAGGGCCGTGACTGTACCTCCTACGAGCCTCTGTCCGCGTGGGCTCAGGTAAAGAGACTCAGGAGCGGGTTGGTTCACTGCTGACACTGGGCTTTGCACTTGTGCTGCCGCCTGGAGGGGCAGGAGCGTCTCCGTGGCTTATTAACCCTTTGCAGTGACACCCTTCAGCTTTGGCTTGTTTTGTGTGACAGAATCTATGTCTCCTGTGCTTGTTTAGTTCTGCATCTAAACCAAATTATGGCCCTGATGCTAATTAACCACCACCCAGAGACACCAATAACATTCAGGTCCTGCCTTTTGAGCTCAGATCAAAGTAGGGGCAAGTCAGCAGCAGGTGTGTGCTTCTGAGTGTCTGCAGGAGTAACTTGCCCTCTCCCTGGCATTAAACTTTCTTCTGTTCTTGCTTTCTCTCTCTGGACAGTCCAGTCACGAACAGTTCAGCCTCACTGTGGCCTCCTTTTTTCTCTCTTCTCTTTCACATGTGAAAAGAAATTGCTCGGAAACTCCCTGCTGAAACTGGAAGGTGATGACCGTCTGGACATGAACTGCACGCTGCCCTTCAGCGACCAGGTGACGATGCTTTTTTTGGGCAACATCTGCCAGGATCTGGCCAAAGCCGCGCATGCGTTATAGGACCATGTCAAGGGGTGGTAATGGGGACATGGCCCCACTCACACTCTTCCTGGGGACTTGCACCCTGGCAGGTGGTGCTGGTGGGCACCGAGGAAGGGCTGTATGCGCTGAATGTCTTGAAGAACTCCCTCACCCACGTCCCAGGAATTGGAGCAGTCTTCCAGATTTACATCATCAAGGACCTGGAGAAGCTCCTCATGATCGCAGGTGGGAGGCCAAGGACATGGCACTTTGTCTTCACTTGTAAGGGAAACGATTTAAAACTCACATGTCATGTTTGTCAAACTCGGGGGCAGGCTGGAGCAGGAGTGGCTCTTCCCTCTGGGTCTCTGAAGGGGCCCGAGCCCCTGTGCTCTGAGAGCCTGCTCGCCCTGCTGTGTGCATTGCCCATTCTCCCTGGTTTCAGACCCTTCCTTTGCATATAGCACTCACGAACAGTTCAACACATATTTATTTCTCTCTCTTGCTACACACACACACACACACACACACACACACACACACACACACACTTACTTTCTCATTCAGTTGCAGCTCTGACACACACACACACACTTACTTTCTCACTCAGTTGCAGCTCTGACACACACACACACACACACACACTTACTTTCTCACTCAGTTGCAGCTCTCACACACACACACACACACACACACACACACTTACTTTCTCACTCAGTTGCAGCTCTCTCACACACACACACACACACACACACACACACTTACTTTCTCACTCAGTTGCAGCTCTGACTCCAGAATCTTCAGCCAGTCAGCTAAGAACAAGGGCATTCTCTTACATACCCAGGGCAGAAAGGCTTTATTCTCCTCTCTTTATTGGTAGTATTTTTTTTTTTAAAGGAAGACAATAATGCATTGGTTCCATGTGCAAAACATTCACAGTCAAATCTTAGCTCAGGCTTGGCCGGCTGGGTCCATGTGATCAGGAGCTAGCTTTCCTTGACCCCTCGGTGCTTTTCCTCAGTTGGCTTGCTTCCTCGCTTGCTTTCCTTTCTTTCTCCCCACTTCCATCTTGACATTTTCCCTGGGCGCAGTTTTAGGTTCATAGCAGAAGGTGGAGAGAATCCCTGTATACTTCTGCCATCACACAACGCGCGGCTGCCTCCCTCATCGGCACCCGAGTGGGACGTGCAGTGACCCTGCACTGACATGTCACTGCACCCCAAGTCCACAGTTCACGTTTGGGTTCACTCCTATATATTCAGTATATCTGCCACTATAACATCATACAGAATAGTGTCACATAGTACATTTTTTTAATTTCCAGGAATTTGATTGTTGCTTCTCCTGTTTTCTAATGTACTGTCTGTTGATAGTTGGCTTTTACCTGTGGCTCCAAAAATGTCCCTTATTTTTCTCCCTGCTCGTGATCCAGTCCAGGACTGTGCCCTTCATTCACTCAGCTTTCTCTCTTGCCTCCTCTAACTGTATATATATATATATATATATATATAAAAACTGTGTCACAGCACCCAGTTAAAACTGTAATTTCTTTTTTCTTTTCTTTTGTCACATGGCATGTGGGATCTTAGTTCCCTGACCAGGGATTGAACCTTTGTCTCTGCAGTTGTAGTGCGGAGTCCTAACCACTGGACTGCCACGGAACTCCCATGTCCACTGTTTTTTATAAAAGTCCCCTCACTGTCTCCCAGCACAAACGTTCTTGACTTTGGTGGGGAACACATTTGAACGTTCAGTTCACATTCTCCGATTTTTTGTCTGCGGAATTTTTGTTTCCTCCCACAGTCTTGACCAAGAGGCTAGATGTTTTCCTTTTAGATCTAAGACTTGGACCTAAACTGCGTTAATGGAGATTTGTGGAAAGTAATGCATCCGTGTGGCCTGGGGTAGCTTTTGCTCAAGGTTAGAATGCGGCCCGCCATTGCGCTCTGCTGTCCCGTCCCCGCAGGAGAGGAGCGGGCCCTGTGTCTCGTGGATGTGAAGAAGGTGAAGCAGTCCCTCGCGCAGTCTCACCTCCCCGCCCAGCCGGACATCTCGCCCAACATCTTTGAAGCGGTCAAGGGCTGCCACTTGTTTGCTGCTGGCAAGGTAAGTGGTCCTCTGGGCCCCAGCTGACGACTCTTCTGGGAGTTGTTGTGGCTCCCTGCTTAATAATTTGACCTTGAAAACCCTGTCCTTAAACTGGGTTAAATTTCTGTTGCTTCTTTCCAACACAGCTGGTAGTGGTACCACTGGCATCACATGAGCAGAGCCAGGGTTGTTCCTAAACACCCAGCGGTGCCCAGCACGGCCCCTCCCCATGGGGGCCAACCTGATCTTGTGTCCATGGTAGCAGTTTGAGAGACCCTGCTCCTAACCAGCTTTTGCCATGGAGCTGGTACACTCACTGGTGATGCTCTTCTTTTCCCACCCTCCACCCCAACTGTTTTTCAGATTGAGAGTGGGCTCTGCATCTGTGCAGCCATGCCCAGCAAAGTTGTCATTCTCCGCTACAATGAAAACCTCAGCAAGTACTGCATTCGGAAAGTAAGTCCTGGGCCTTACTGGGCCTGCTTTCCTGGCGAGCTGGTGGGAAGGTGCCTGTGTCTGTCCCCTTCATCCTGGGTGACCTCCTTAGAGAGGGAACAAGAGGGTGCCCTGCTCCCTAGAGGATGCTCCAGAGTGGCCTTCAGTTTTCTCCCTGCCTTTCCTCCTGCCAGGGGTGAGCAGCCTCTCCTGCCAGCCCTGCAAATTCAGCTTTTTGTGAAGGGAGAGAGGAAGGTGGTTGATGGAGGAGACTCCCCTTCTGAAACAGTAGAAAATAGGAAGCTCTGAGGAGCAAGCAGCCCTGGAGGCCCCTACCAGAATCCTTCTCAGATCATAGAAGTTTCTAATAATAACCTTTAGAAAAGCCAGTGCTGGCTGTGTTTTGGTACCCGTTTTGGGAACTGGTTCTCCTTGAAGCAGTGTGTATTGTGATGTTGCCTGGGGTGCAGACAGGCTTCTGCTGGATCACTGCGTTTGCTTTCCTTCTGAGAAGGCCATCTCATGTCCCTAGACAGGAATGTCCCACCCATCGTGAGCCTGATGTATTGCAGGTGCCTTTATAGTTGGTCTCAAAAAGTAGAAGGAGGGATGAATACATAAGGGTCAGTACCTGTTAGAGAAACTGTCTTATCTGGGGTGGGCTGTTGTTAGTGTTTCAATTGAGCACGTGTTCTGAACAGATTGAACTGGCTGTTTCACACACTTTTCACAACAGTTGTGAGAAGCAGAAATGGCCATCCCCACTTCTCAGGTAAGATGACTGAGGCTGACGAAGATCCTAGGTTACAGAGTTGAGACCAAAACTGAAGTCTGACTTTCCCAGCACCTCACTACATTTCCCCTGCTGTGTAGTTTCCTCATACTTAGTCAGTGATCAGTAAATATTTAATGGTGAGGATAATGCTGATTAAAGTTTGCACTGTTAGCTTCAGGAAGATTCTCAGAAATCATTGTTTATTTATAATTCCTGGCCACCATTTGGAGTAAACATAACTAGGTTTTTTGCAGCCCTTCCTTAGGATTGGCCCATAAACAAGTGGAAGTAATTAGGAAGCAGATAATTCAGACAGTGATGACAGCAGTGATGATATTAATCAAATACATAACGCAGATTCAAGATAGAAACTGAGAAGCTTGGAAAGGAAGGAAACTAAAACCACTTCCTCCAGCCACCACCGATGGTGTATTTCTCCAGGCTTTTCCTTCTGATCAGAATGTTGTATTTTTAAAGCTCTCTTTGAACGCTACTCCTTTTCCTTAAAATGGTGTCTGACTTTGTCAGTTGCAATTTGACCTTTTTAGTCTGTGGTTGCAAAGAACCCAAAGGTAGCAAAGGGACCATAGGTCCTTATTAGGAACATGAAGGGACTTTCTTGGTGTGAAGACCACAGGGAAAGTTGGGTGGCGAACCCTGCATGGCCTGGTTGGAGAGAGGGGGCTGCTCCAAGTCAATGCTCACATCCTCCTCTCTGCTGCCCCCCCCTGCACCCCCGTCCCAGGAGATCGAGACCTCGGAGCCCTGCAGCTGTATCCACTTCACCAACTACAGTATCCTCATCGGAACCAATAAATTCTACGAAATCGACATGAAGCAGTACACGCTGGAGGGTAGGGCCCGGGTGCATCCCCTGCTGGCGTGTTTCTGGCCCTGCCGCCACGTTGGGCTCCTCCTTGGTCCTGAGGCCCCACGTCTCCCCTGCCTTTACAGAATTCCTGGATAAGAACGACCATTCCTTGGCGCCTGCCGTGTTTGCCTCCTCTTCCAACAGTTTCCCCGTGTCCATCATGCAGGTGAACGGCGCGGGGCAGCGGGAGGAGTTCCTGCTGTGTTTCCACGGTGAGTCCACCGGTGGCTGATGGGGGTGCTCAGGGCACCCACAGCCCCAGACAGGGGCCTTGGGGTGGGGCGGGGGTGCTGCTCTTGGAGTACAGGGGACGTTGGTCTTGCTCCACCAGCGCCCTTGGGGTGCCCCCACCAGGCTCTAGCCAGGTCCATTCACAGTTTCTTCCAGACCAGTCCGCTCTGTCCTTCTTTGTCTCTCACTCCTCTCTCTCCCCCTTTCCTCTCCCTAAATCTCTGGGTCTGTTTCTCCCCTTCTTCCCCCTAACTCTGCCTCCATCACACCCCTCTTGTCTCTCCCCTTTCACTTGAACCCTCTTCTTTAGTAAACCCCAAGAAATGTGGCTCAGCAGAGCTCCCAAGGGTTTTCACGACCCAGGTCCCCCGGGCTGGATTCCTCACTCTTCTGTCAGTGTGTGTCTTTGATACTCCCTGTCTTTGGCCATGCTCAAGCCCTGGACTCTGCCTCCTTCCAGAATTCGGGGTGTTCGTGGATTCTTATGGAAGACGCAGCCGCACAGATGATCTCAAGTGGAGTCGCTTACCTCTGGCCTTTGGTAGGTGAGGCAAGGTGTGGGGCTCAGTACTTGGGGTCCCTGGAAGGAACTGCTGGTGGAATTCCTTTTGGCTTATGCACTGTGCTTGGGGGCTCCCTTAGACACCAGGCGCCACATGTAACATCTCCCTTGTTAAGTGTCCAGGGCAGAGCTCCCGGGGCATGATGCATAAACCAAACCCACCAGCCTCTCATGACAGAAAGATCATTCCTTGTGAGTTTGTTTAAATCATGTCACCAGGCTGCGTAGCATCTCACGACACAGCTGATCACTCATCAATTTAACCAGTTCTAAACAAGCTCAAGTGTGAACAACGCTGTGATGAACTTATGGTATTTGCACACTGGTTAAGTAATAGCCCCAGCTCAGAAATTCTAAAAGTGGAGGTGCTGTGTCAAGGATAAACACACACACACGATGACTGTGTGAATGTTCTGAAATAGCATTACGGCTGAAATACCCTTCAAGGCTATTTCATTTATCAGTTGCTCCATAACACGTTCCAAAATCTAGTGACTTAGAACAACTGCTTATTATTGCCTGAGACTCTGGGGCTTGACTGGACAGCTTTGCTTCATGTGGTGTCAACAGAGGCACCGGGACATCCAGAAAGTCCAAAGTGGCTTCACAGAGTGGCCGTCAGTTAGAGCGTGTCGGGCGGGGGCTTAGCAGGGGCCAGCGGCTGAAGGTCTCACCCTTCGCAGCAGGGCTGCCTCTATGAGTGTGAAAGCCGAGGTGCCCAGGCCTTCTCGCTTCTACCCCATCCTACCGGCTTAACTGGGATTCCAGGCGGAGGGAGTCCACGGGGGCCTGAGTAGTAGGAGGTGTGACTAATACTGAAATAACAGTTCAGCACAAGGAATAACCATGATAATCTGTTTCCCTTTAAGACCAAAACCAGCTCACATTATATCCTAGAGTTCGACATTGTGATAGAGAAATATACAGTATTAGGACCACAAATACTTGACTGTCTATGAACCCAGTCATTTTCTAGTAAACGTTTTGGACAATCTGTCCGATGAAGCGGTTCTAAAAGGTTACAATCAGTCTCACCCATGTTACTCATCTCCCAAACTTCTCCATCCCCACTCCCCTCAGGGAAAAAAAAAACTTAGTTCTGCGTTTCTTATCCTTCCAGTGCCTTATGCAGACACGGGCACATAAAAATTTATTCTCATCCCTCTCCCTTTTTAAAAAACCAGTGTGGCAGCACAGCGGACACAGTATTCTGAAGCTTTGCACCTTGGGTGTTTTCTCCGTCAGCATGTAGAGAGCGCTGCTTTGTGCATTCTCACGGCTCTGCAGGCTCCCATATTTGCGCTGTGATTTACATAACTGATCCCACACGATGTTCCCTGAGTGGGCTCCCAGCGTCTGCCCCAGCAGCAGTGGCAGGGGATAAACTTAAACATGCCCGTTACGCAGGCATGCGGTGCATGTGGAGGATACGCTGAGGTGGGACTGCTGGGTCCAAGGCTGCACTGCAGCCAGGCTTTGATTTTCTGTCTTTTAACCCTTCCCTGCCCCGTGCTTTTCCTCCGTGGCGGCCACGCAGCCTACAGAGAACCCTATCTGTTTGTGACTCACTTCAACTCACTCGAAGTAATTGAGATCCAGGCCCGCTCCTCTCTGGGGTAAGAACTGGGTTTCCTTGGTGCCTCAGCAGTGAAGAACTCCCTGCCAATGCAGGAAACGTGGGTCCGATCCCTGGGTTGGGAAGATCCCCTGGAGAAGGGATAGGCTACCTGCTCCATCCTGGTGGGCTTCCCTGGTGGCTCAGCAGTAAAGAATCTGCCTGCAGTGTGGGAGGCCTGGGTTCCATCCCTGGGCTGGGAAGATCCCCTGGAGGAGGGCATGGCAACCCACTCTAGTATTCTTGCCTGGATGGACAGAGGAGCCTGGTGGGCTGTAGTCCATGGGGTTGCAGGGTTGGACATGACTTAGCGACTAAACAACTGTGAAAAGTTCAGCGGCTGGGTGTCGGGGCCGGGTCCTGACAGTGGAGGTGACCAGCTGTGCAGACTCTCCTCTGGAACCCCACAGGACCCCCGCCCGCGCATATCTGGAAATCCCCAACCCACGCTACCTGGGCCCTGCCATCTCTTCAGGAGCCATCTACCTGGCATCCTCATACCAGGATAAGTTAAGGGTCATCTGCTGCAAAGGAAACCTGGTGAAGGAGACCGGTACTGACCACCACCGTGGCCCGTCCACCTCCCGCAGGTAACGCGCCTTCTCCGGTTCCTCATCACAGAGGGGCAAAGCAGGACATCTTGCTAAACTGGTTGACAGTTTGCCAGTCTTCAAGCTCAAGCCACTTATTTCTCTGAAACCAACAGCATTTAAACGACAGTCCTTTATAAGCGACAGGAGAATTTTTTAGTGCCTCCTTGGAGAAGGTGGAAGGAAATGTCCGGCCTTTTCTCTGGTGGCTGTTTCCCGTGGCTGTGTTTGTAATGCATTCATTGCATTAGTGTAGTAGTGTGCTGCGCTCACTGGGCTTGCTGAGGGAGACCAAGTGTGAGTAAGCTGGAATCTTGCCCCTCCCTGAGGAGGCCCAGTGGGCGAGACAAGCACTCATGTGATAACAGCACAGCCAAGGAGAATGGGGCTCATACTTGGGTCCCCAGCTTGGACTTGGGGGCTAAGAAGGATTTCCCAGAAGAAATGAGGCCTTGAGGACAGGCTATACTTTATTCTTGAAAACCAAACATTTCAATTACTACCATGTAATAACTCTGAAAATCAGATCCCCCTTCCCCTCCCAGGGTATGTTGCTGCTGTTGCTATTTGTTGAGTGACTCTCTGGACTAATTATATAGTCTGCATTCTTTGTTATGTGTGGCCACTGAAGTTTCTGCTTGGTTAGGGTAGTGAGCAGATGAGTAACTAGAAAGGATTTCCTTAAATGGTGTGTGTGTGTGTATGTGTGTGTAGTTTAGGGCACACCTTCAGCACTCGAGTCAGCTGCCAAGACTGAGGCCTTCCTAGGTTTTTTCTGGATTTTCTGGGTTTGGGTACAGGCTTACTTGTGTGTGTGGCCTTAAGATCCCTAGGAACATGCAGGAGGACGTCCTTCTGAGTGTTCTGGCTAGCCTCTTGTTTTCCCCAACTTGGTCTCACTGCCTCAGACACTTGCCATGTGAAACAGTCACCAATTTGTTTTTCAGTAACCGTCCAGAGATAGGGCACTTCTGTTGTGCAAGACCTGCATCACGTCAATTAAAACAAACCCTGAGAAGATAGGAAGAGCAGGCGAGAGAGGAAATGAAAGGAAAGCAACGGGGTTGGATGAGGATTCCTATTTGACTCTTGGCCCTTCTTCCTACAGTGCAGATAGGATGCTCATACTGTTTATGATTGCTGTCAGTTCCCTCCATGAAAGCAGACTGAACTGGATACCCACAACCTCTCAACACAAAGGAAGTTACGTTGTTAGTTCCTTGTCGGATTTTTGCCTAAGTGAAGTACATATGGTTGGGGATCCAGGGGACTCAGAGACACAAGAAAGTCTACTGGTATTGAGTCTGGGAAAGATACTTCTCTCCTTGTTGTGAAGACTGGGGCCACCTCTTCTTCAGACACTAATAAAGAATCTTAGGTCCTCTGTGGGCCCGTCCCCCCAAATTATTATGAAATAAAGCTAAGTATTTAAACTCTGGTCTTTTCCCAGGAGGACCAAGACAGATCAGATAGTGACACCAATGTGCTTGTTTTTAAGGGAGAAACCCGTCTTTGGGCGTTCTTACCCTGCTGGTCCCCAAGCATGCATCCCCTTCTTAATACAGGGGACAGCACACCGTGCACACTCATCTGTATCTTGGAAACTGCTTCCTGCGGGTACACAAAGTATTTCTCTTTTTTTAATGCCTGCATAGCATTCCTTCGTATGACTATACCTTATTTAACTGCTCCTTTATCAGTGGATGTTTGGGTGTTTCCAGTTAGTTGCTGTAGTAAAGGACTTGGTATATCTTCACTTCGAATGCTTGGAATCTACCTGTAGGCTGAATTCCTAGAAAAGGAATTGTTGGTGATCCTGATAGATGTCCCTGAGTTTTCCTCCCTGGAGGCTGTACTCTTCTGTTATCCCACCAGCAGTGGGTGGAAGGCGGATTGGCTTTGTCTTGACCCCTAGGGTGAGGAGCCAGATTCAGTTCCAAGTGGGGATTTGAGACACAGAATTTTAAGACCTTGGCCACAAAGAAGATGAGCTTTCTCAACCTAGAAGAATATCTAATTGATCGAGGACTTGACTTTGTGGACTGGTTTACAAAGCCCACATATCTACCCTATACAGTTATGTGGGCCCCCTACCATGTGTCAGACCCAGTGTTGGGGATACACAGATGAAGACAGTTTTTATCCTCAAGGGACTCAGTTTGGTGGACACCTCTAAGGTTACAAAATACTTAGAAAAGAAAGTTGTCAACTTAATATTCTGAGGCTATGTCCTAATGAAGAGTCTCTGTTTTGTTAAAATACAAGTGTTGGTCAGAAATGTCTGTCAGTGTGATTTCAATTCCAGAACTTGCTAGAAAACTGGAAGTGCTAAATAGTCAGCTGCTCTTCACTCTTTTGGCCTCTGCTTCAGGGATGACTGCTCAAAGGTCTGTAGTCCCCTCCTGAAAATGTCTAGATTTTATTTAGCCTCTAGGTCATGCAAGAAAAAAACCCAAGTTCTGTAACTAGGTAATTTTTTTCTCCACTGCCTCACTAGTTAGATGGTCAGGCACCTTCCTTTTGAGATGATGTGGTGTGTCTGTGAGAAGTGACTTACTCTGTGGCGAAAATGGTTCTAGTTCCTGCTGTTCTTTCCTGCTGCCACCAGGCCTCTCGGGAAAGCCAGCAGCTAGCCTTTGTCTCTTGGCTTATAAAACTGTCTTTTTGCTGCTGGACTGCTTTGGGCAGGTCCAGAATGTAGAAGGCCAGCCTGGGAGACTGATTCACTGCAGGCTACACCACCCTGGTCTCTTCAGCAGAGCAGGAAATGTAACTCTGCAAGAAACATAAAATTGATGTGGTAGATCATTGGTTATTAACGGATATGGAGATGGAAGATGGCCAGCTTGGCCTACAATAATGAGTGTGTTCTTCATCCCATTAATCTCAGCCGACTTCTCAAATGGCCTTCCTTGAACCACTTTTCTTCCTCTGGGCAGTGAGCACCCTCTCACTTGCTTTATGATGGGCACATTTTATAATTTTTCTTCCATCACAAATAGGTTTAATATAATTCTCCTGAATTTTTTTGTCTTCCATATCACAAAGCCACATGACTGGAGATGAAACCTTGATTTCAAGATGTTGAAATCAAAAGTTACCTCAAATTTTACTGCTGCAAACATAGCACAAGAAAAGTGTGGCTTTCTGAGCACTGGTTAGAATTGACACAGTTTGAGCTGCATAGGGAAGAAAATATGAAACTACAATAGACTGACCACTTTAGAGTTATTTCTGTTCTGTTCACCAATCTGTTTAGATAGTATTTTGGGGTTTGCTGACCATACGGTCCCTATCTCAACTGCTCAACTTTGTTGTTAGACCATGAAAGCAACCTCAGTGCATCACCAGATGGGCGTGGCCATGCTCCAGTGAAACTTTATTAAAACAGGCGTCTGTCTGGGTTTGGCCCTCAAGCTTTCTCTAGAGAGTTTCCTCTCCCGAACCAGTCAGTGTCTTTGCTGCTCAGTTGCTTTCTGTAATGGGCATTGACAGAAGAGGTTCCCTAGAGTTAGGCCAATAATTAAAGAAAATCAAGTTTGATCCCTTCCAAAGGGAAAGATTTAAATATCAAAGGGTTAAGAGAGGCCTCTGGTGACACTGTCAAATATTTAAATGACTTTACGATTTCACTGCACAAAATCCAACATCACTGGTGGAGGATGTCACCCAGCATGTTAGGATACAATTTTCTTGAGAAAATTAGAGCATAATAAATCAGTAAGTGATTCATACTTGGTTCATTCTTAGCATGTAATTATAATTGTAATTTAGATTTTTAAAATATCTAGGATAAAATATATTTTCCTGATTTCTACTTTTATTTTTTCTAAGATAAAGCCCCAATCAATCAAAATAGGTCTTCAAGTAATATTCTCTGTGAAATGGCATTCCCATTTTAAGTAGGCTGCCTTTTCCCAGCACTGATTATGCTCAGATAACAAGGGCCCCAGTACCTCTTCTGATCGAGGGTGGGAAGGAACTGACTTTGAAGGCTATGTGTCAGTTCTGTGTTTCTGGATCTTACTTCTTCAGAGGGGTGGTAAGGGCCATGCCTGGTGAAATCTTCATTTGAAACATGAAAATTTCTCTGCAAGGCAGGCCAGGGCTGGATGGAGGGTTAGATCGTTCGTAAGAAAAGGTCCCAGTACTTTCAATGGCTCATGTTTTTTGAGCCTGGTCTGCTGTTTGCATTGGCCCTGCTCTGTCTCCTAACTGGTTGGATCAGGTTTGATTTCTGCACCTCTGGCACAAAGGCTCTTGGAAAGCCAGCTAGAGGGGGGACCAGCAGAGGCCCAGAAGTGGGACAGATTTGGCAGCTGACAGTGATGATACAGGCTTAACCCCTAGAGGAGGCTTCCTGTGAAGTCAGTGGGGGTGGAGCGTGGGGATTATGATGTCAGACTGACCTGTACTGGAATCCTGGCCTCTCTGCATCTCCATCCTCTTGTCTGTACGACGAGGGTCATCTGTTCCTAAAGTACAGAGCTGTTAGGAGGATTTGACGAGCCTAGCACAGCGCCTGACACATGATAGGTGCTCAGCAGAAAGCCTGCCCTGAGACTGGGAAGCTTGCCTTTTCTCCGCCGTGACCTCTGCCTTCTTTCTGTCCTCACTCTCGAGGTAAACACGGAGCCTGGAGGACTCCAGGTGGGGTCTGTTTCTAATAACCTGTGGTGAGAGGGGCATGGGGTGACTCAGCTCCCCACCTCCCTGCCCTGTTGTCACAGCCCCAACAAGCGCGGCCCGCCGACCTACAACGAGCACATCACCAAGCGCGTGGCCTCAAGCCCGGCGCCTCCCGAAGGCCCCAGCCACCCTCGAGAGCCAAGCACACCCCACCGCTACCGCGAGGGGCGGACTGAGCTGCGCAGGGACAAGTCTCCGGGCCGCCCCCTGGAGCGCGAGAAGTCCCCCGGCCGGATGCTGAGCACGCGGAGGGAGCGCTCCCCCGGGCGGCTGTTTGAGGACAGCAGCAGGGGCCGGCTGCCCGTGGGGGCCGTGAGGACCCCGCTGTCCCAGGTCAACAAGGTAAGGGAGGTGCCCTCCTCAGCCCCCACGGCTGTAGGGAAGAGGCTCCACAACTGTAATTAGGGTTTTCTGGGATTTGTAAGACGTTTAGGAAGAAAATAGCTTGAGAAGGGGCCTCCTCTACAAATGGATCGTGTGTGGCCCTCAAACTGCAAGAGCCACCAAGGGTATATAGCATTCCCTTCCCCAGACGCAACCAGTGTTCGCAGTTTCTGTGCAGACAAGCAAATTCTTACACACACAGAACACGCCAGCCATTCAGAAGGTTCCATGCTTTACTTTTTTCAAACATGTACATGTGTACAAAGACACAAACATCAAGAATTTCTCTGCAAGGCTACATTGAAATCTGGTAACAGTGGTTGCCTTCTGGAAGAACTCTGCACCTTTTGAAATTCTAAAATCATGTGCATTTATTACCTGTGTAGCTTTCATGTTACCAACTGAAGAGCTGGAGGGATGTGCTGATAACCAGGGGCCCTCAAGTGGGGGTGGGGCGCGAAAGCTTGCGGATGCCTTGGCAGGCCAACCAGTTCCAGGTGCTGGCTTTCTGGACCATGCTCTCCTAATGCCATCTATTGGCACCCCAGCCACTAGAGAGAGGAGGAAATGCTGTTTCACTGTTGTCCTTGAAAATGAAAGTTGCCTAGTCATGTCCGACTCTTTGCCATCCCATGGACTGTACAGAATGCTGGAGTGGGTAGCCGTTCCCTTCTCCAAGGGACTCTTCCCAACCCAGGGATCGAGTCCAGGTCTCCTGCATTGCAGGCAGATTCTTTACCAGCTAAGCCACCAGGGAAGCCTTACCTCCTCTGATTTCTGGATAAAATGGTATGTGCAAACCACAGTACTACTTCTACAGCACTGGGGACTTCTCAGCAAGTTTCACAAGCTCTGCGGGGAGGCTCTGCCTGTCCCTCACTGTTAACCACAGGAGGGAGAGACCGGGTGCTCCTGCAGTATCCCAGTGTGGGCCTCCTGTTTACAAAGTGAGCATGGCGATTTCCGGCTTCTGATGGCTAAATCCCCTCTTCCTCTTGTTCTCAGGTCTGGGACCAGTCTTCAGTATAAATCTCAGCCAGAAAAACCAACTCCTCATGTTGATCTGCAGGAAAACACCAAACACTATGGAACTCTGCTGAAGGGGACCCCAGCGCCCATCTGCTCAGCCAGCCCCTGGCGCAGCTGGACCCAGGCCTGCCTCAGCACGGACTCCCTGCAGCCAGGAGGGGCAGGGGGCTGGGGCTCCTGGGAGCTGCCGGCACCTCCCTGCAGCCGCCCTCTTTGCACTTTGTTACTCTTTCAGAGCGTTCATAAACTTTTGTACCTAGCTCTAGCCTGTACCAGTTCATCACAGGAAACCAACCTGGGGCTAACTACAACTACAGCGTGGTTAGAATCCTAATTAATAGCTACTTTAAGATCTTAGGGTTGGTTGGGTATTTTTGTTTCTTTTTTTTTTTTTTTAAAGACAACAGACTTCTTAATAGATTTGAATAGCACCGTATTTCCTGTTGCAGTCGTTCGTAGCGAGGTCACGCCATCAGGTCTCTGCTACTGAAACGTACGTAGACGAGCCCCTGCTGTCGGCCAGCCTCCCGCCCTCGCCTCAGTCCGTCCTTGTCCAGTCTGTCCTCACAGGCGGCCCTGTCTCACCTGGGGCGACGTCTTAGCCAAATGTTTACCGTCCTCATTGCCTTTTAAGGCCTTGATGACTTCCCCCCCCGCCCTCCCACCAGCTGAGAATGTACAGAGGTCATCAGGCCTTGCTTGGAGGCAGTGACTTGGGGCCAAGGGACCTCGAGGAGTTTTCCCTCCCTGCCCCTCAGCGTCACCCCTGGCCTGCTGTCCCTGCTTTCCACGTCGCTTTGGCCAGGAAAGCATGTACTGGACTTGCTCTGAGCCCAGCCCCGAGAGGGCCCTGGGTCCAGGGGCACTCACATCCTGTCCATGACGGTGTGCTGTTCCCGCCTCCCTGGGGTGGGAAGAGATGCCGGAGCTCTGCATGGCGGTTCACTGCATGCGCTGCCCCCCCGCCCCGACCTGGCTGCCCACCTTGGGTTGCTCTGCTGATGCACTAGGTCCATCCATCCCATAGCTCCCGCCAAACCGAGACCCTCTGGGACTTGCCAACTCACCGGCCACAAGCTGCAGTCTGTAGCACTGAACAAACGAAAACCAAACGCTCAAGCCTTACGACCAGAGAAGGATTTCAGCAAACCACACCTCACACTTGCACATCTCCCTGCCGACTCCCTCGCGGATGACTGTGTTCACACACAACCCAGCAGGTTCTGCCCCACGAAAACTGTGACTCCCCCGACAAGCCTCTCCCTAGGGCTAGACTAAAACCAGGACGTTGGAGAAAGAAACCGCCCTCAACTCGCCCACCCTGGCTGGGCGGGGAAACCCTCCCTTAGGTGCCCCCTTTCTCTCCTCCGGCGGTGTGAGGTTCCTGGCAACTGGTTAAAGAACCAACCAGAGGCTTCGCTGTTGGCAAGCTAACTAGCGGCCTTATTTCTGCCTTTAATCTCCCACCAGGCCTCTCTTGCTTCTCCACGCCTCGAACTACCAAGGCACATCCTAGGTAGGCTGACAGATAGACCTGTTCCCACTGCAGCCAGTGAACATGACCGCGTTTCAATCCCCCGTCCATGGTTCAGCTCACTTTCCAGATTGCAACCTGGCCCGAGTCCCAGCTCCTTCCTGCTCGTCCCTTAACCGAAGTGCTTTCTTGTCTGAAATGCCCACGGCCCTTCCTCCGTGTTGTCGCATCCTTGGCCAGTGTCACACTGTCGTGTTCCGTGTGTCGCTCTGTCTTCGGGGTCAGATGGCATCCCTTCCCTTTTCCAGGGCAGATCTGACTGAATGTTTGCTGAAGATTTTTTGTCTCTTGGTCCACAAGTATTTGGAGAGGTCACTGGAAATGGTGTTCAGTCTTGGCATTTCATTTAGGATCTCCATAAGAAATGGGCTTCTTAGCCCTCAAAGTGTATATCGTGTGTCTCATTTGTGAAATGCTTCCTGCTATAGAACTAGCTCAAAGACTGTACATATTTACAAGAAACTTTATATTCGTAAAAAAAAAAAAGGAAATTGAATTGGTTTCTACTTTTTTATTGTAAAAGGTGCATTTTTCAACTCTTACTTTCGGTTTCAACGGTGGTGGTTGTGGACAGCCATCTTCACTGGAGGGTGGGGAGCTCCGTGTGGCCACCGAGATGCCAGCAGGAAATATAGTTAAAACGAAACTGCAGTCAAAAGCTTATTAGCATAAGTAAGATTCTAGGTCTCCAAAAGTACAGGCTTTTTCTTCATTACCTTTTTTATTCAGAAAGAGGAAAAGATCACAAGATCCACCTTGAAAGGAATGAACTCTCTTGAATAAATAGTCAAATAAAGCAATGATCTAAAATGTTCGCTTTAGTGCACGACCTCTTCTTAAAGACAGTGTGTAAAACTCCGAAGTATCGCCGCTGTCAGCCTGAGCTTGTGAGCATGGCATGGTGCCGTCTTTCCTTTCGAGGATGCTTCTTCAGGGGCTGGGGGGTGGTGTGTGTGTGGAGAGCCACACAGGGTTAGAGCAGACCACACTCCTGGAATTGACACGCAGGCGAAGTTCTCTTCCAGAAGTGTGGTGTTTGGGCATTACTTCCAATGAATCATGAACTGGCTATTAAGGTCACAGTATAGGACTGCAGAACTGGAAAGCTCCTTAAGGCAGTCAGGCCACTTTGAAAGGATTACTGGGGAATGGATGACCCAGCTCTCCTATAATGTAGTTAATAAAAACAAACAACAACAACAGGTCACCTTTCATTTCAGTTCTTATCCATTACGATAAAGTCACAGGGATTTCCTTGGAGGGAGGAATTCGGATCTAGGTAATTTAAAATGTAAATTCTTTTAACTATGTAAAGTTCTACAGTCTGCAAGGTAAATTTTTCTAAGATGCTTTAATTTGTTGGTATAAAATTTGTTGAGCTAGACAAGCATTGCTTCTGGCAAATGGTACTTTTCTCGTGGTTCCTGTTACTTTCGGTCTTCAACTTTTATTTTCCAATGAAGTAATCTGACCACAGTCAAATTCTGACTTGCAGGGTTGTGGCTGACATGCCATGCAACAGGAATTGGGCTTGCAATTCTATTCTATTCCTCCTTTCTGTTTTACCACTGGGGATAAAAATTTGGCACTTCTAAGAATGAAAATTCAGAATGAACAAGTAAAATGTTAGAACCTATCCTCCCTTATAAAATGAGAAGTCCACTGAATACCAAACAGCCATTTTAGTCACTGTCCTGAGGATTCTTGGCATCCACATACCACTTCAGAAACATAAGGTAAATGTGGTGTAGTTCCAAAAGAAATGTGCCATAAAGGTTCTCTGGACCCTAAGCAAGGACCTCAAAGAAACAACCAACAAATTACTCAGCCACACCACAAACTTAGGCCCAGCTGTCCATGTTGCAGTTCCTGCTTAAACACAAAATTGGACGTCACATATTCTGCTCTTAGAACTTAATTTTTATGAGAATAAAGAAGCTGCCTGCAAAGCAAATTTTCTAACTATGAAATTTTAAGGCTCTAGAGACTTAGGCCTAAAAGAGAATGATACACTTACCAGGACAGACGAGCGTTTGTCTTTAGAATCGGGCCTCATGAGTGTGACTTGCGTCAGCAAACATTCATGCAGATTTAAGTATAAAGCAATAATGCTAGGCCTACGGGGGTGGGACTGGCTAAGCTTTACAAACTAGCCTGTTCCAGCAGTTCTAAACTTTACTCACTGGCCCGTTCCAGCAGTTCTAAACTAGGGGTGACTTAGCCCCCTTCCCTTGAGGACACCTGACAGGATCTGTAGACTTTTGATTGTCACAACGGGTTACTTCTGGTGACCTTGTGGGCAGAGGCCAGAGATGCTGCTAAATATCCTACAAAGCACAAGATGGCCCACATGCCCACCTTCCACAAAAACTTCTCAGGCCTAACATATCAATTAGTGCCATGGTTGAGGAAGATTAGCCTATTCTGGCCCAATTTCTTTCTTGGCACTTTAAATATTGCTCATGATGTCTAAAGCATGGAGACTGTGACCCTAGGCACAGTGTTTACACGAGAAAATGTTTTATCACTTGCCTAGTCAAAACGCTGAGGCTTTCATCTTCCGAGGCTGGGGGAGGGCTGAGCAGTAGGAATCTGGAACCGCACATGTGGCTTGACTTTCTCTCTAGGCTGTCAATGATTAACGGAACTCCTGTTGGCCCTGGAGGGACTGTGAGAGGAAAGAACTCTGGAAACGACTTTACTGCTGTATACAACTCAGCATGTGCTTTCAGAGAATCACAAAAAGTGAATACACAGTTGATCCGGGGTACACACAACTGGAGCTATCTCTTGTTCTCACTTGCTGTTGAGTCTCACAGATGACACGGGTGAATTCACTCCCAGCAGGTAGAGACAGCTGGCCTCCTCACTCAGGCTTGGGCCTCTGTCTTCAGGACAGAAAAAGATGAGGTGGCTGTGGGAGCTGAGCTCAGCGGCTGATCCCAGAGACAGGGCACTGGTTCCCTGAGGCTCTGACTCACAGGATCTGTAGACTTCTGATTGTTGCAACTGGGGTTACTTCTGGCGACCTTGTGGGCAGAGGCCAGAGATACTGCTAAATATCCTACAATGCACAAGGTGGCCCACATGCTCACCTTCCACAAAGAATTATCAGGCCTAACATATCAATTAGTGCCATGGTTAAGCAAGATTAGCCAATGGCGACAACTCTTGGAAGGGCCCTTCTGGATGTTTTCACCATTACCTGGGATGACTTGTACATATATTCAGAGCTTCCTATTTCCTCCTAAAGACGATTATAACTGGCATTCCAGAGCAGATGGCTCTAGCTTCTTTTCTTCACTAATCTGCTGATCAAGTGAGGTGCTGAAGGCTGGATGGAGGGCTGAGTGGTCCAGAGACTTGGGTCTTCATCAATTCACTCAAACCGTTTGTAAACACTGGAGGAGGGTCATGATTCAGGAGAATGGAGTTCATGCTCAGAAATGAAATCATGCTCATCTAGAAGTAACTGAGTTAAACAAAATGAAATTGTGCTTTTCTCCAAAATGGTTCAGCCTCTGACCTCAGCCATGTATGGAATCACTTTGATGTTCTGGGTTTTGCAAGTTGGCCCTTGGCATCTTGGAGGGTTCCTAATTGAGCTCAAGGTGCTCATACTTTTTTTCTGACCCCCCGACTTCTTTCCTGTTTGTGGCCATAACCCATTCATGTTGTAAAAGGCTTTGTGGCTCCCAGTGTGAAATGAAAGGAGCCCTAGGGATCACCTAGTGTCTGTCCAACTCCTTCCATTTTTCAGGAGAGGAAACTGGGTTGAGAGAGGTCATATGATCACCCAAGGTCACACAGCTAGTCAGGCAGTGAACTGGATCGACATCCCTATTCTCAGTCTAGTGTCCACACTCTGGGAGGGGACAGTGGGGGAATGGCCGACTCCAAGGTGAAGCCAGGCTGTGACCTGGTCTTACAACTATCATCTACACCTTTAAGTGGAACCAGAGGGAAGGAAAAGGCAAGCCTGGATCCTTTGATCTTTGGTTTCAGTATGTGGACATATGGCTGGTTCTGTTTACCTTGAAATACCCATCAACACATTAGGAATTTAAAGACCTTACCCTGGGCTCTGTAACTTCCTCTGTATAGACATTTCTGGTGGGAAAAATGTATCTCATTCAAAAGCAACTGGAGTTACCCTTTAATTTTAACCGTGTAACCAGTCCTCACCCCTAACAGAGAAAGTGTTACCTGGGTCATAGGACACCTCAATATGGCTTTGCTCCTGTGATTTGGATAAAGCAGGGTATCATGTTCCATCTCCATTAAACAGTCTCCATTACTTTTAGCTTCTTGGGTGTACAAACTTTCATCCAGGTCTGTGGGCAGTCTTCTGGACCACGGGGAACTTCGTTTTGTGTTGTTTTTTAAAGAAAATGGAATGTTTTAGACAAGTGGCTCTGGGAAATGCTGACACCCATTTCCCACTGTTCTGCAGTTTTGCCTACATTCCCCCAACCTGAACAGTCAACTCCTCTGGGGGTCCCCTGGGGCTGCAGGGGAGTCTTACTGGGCTTACTGGCTCTGAATTAGTTTTTCCATTGGATTTCCAGCTTGGCGTCTTCTGAACTTTGTGAGTAGAGCCGATTTGTGGGCTAGATTTTTCAACATGATGTTTCCTCCTGCAGCCTGGAGCTGATGGCTCCCTCTGAGCCCTAACTCAGGGTAGCAACCAGATGCTCTAACCCTTCTTACGGAAAAGGCAGTGCTTTTCTGGGCCATCTCAGGCAGTGAGCTTCCTTTCCAGGTGGCCTGGAAGCCCATGGCTGGGTCCTGCTTCCCGCCACCCACCTTCCCCAGTCACCACCAACAGCGCACCAACACAGCAACAGTTTCTTCAGTTCTGGTGCTTCAGTATATCCCTTTTATACCTATAAGCTTAGTTAGGTATTTTCAGTTATATTTTGAAGATATGTGATCCATAAAAATAAACTCAAAATGGCTCAAAGACCCAAATGTAAGCCGTAACACCATAAAACTAGAAGAGAACACAGGTGAAACATTCTGACATAAATCATAGCAGTATTTCCGTAGGTCAGTCTCCCAAGGCAAAATAAATAAAAGCAAATATAGACAAATGGGACCTAATTAAACTTAAGCTTTTTGCCCAGCAGAGGAAACCATCAAAAAAACAAAAAGACAGCTGGCAGAAGGGGAGAAAACATCTGCAAATGACATAACCAATGAGTTAATTTCCAAAATATACAAACAGCCCATACAACACATATCAAAAAAACAAACAACCCAGTCAAAAACAGGCAGATGACTTGAATAGATGTTTTTTTCCCCAAAGATGACATATGCAAAGATGCTCAACATCGCTAATTATCAGAGAAATGCAAATCCAAACCATAACGAGGTATCACTTCGCACAAGTCAGAATGGCCACCATCAGTAAAAATAACAAATGCTCCAGAGGGTGTGCAGAAATGGGAACCTTCCAACACTGCTGATGGGAATGTAAACTGGTGCAGCCAGTATGGAGAACAGAATGGGGGGCTCATAAAAAAAAAAAAAAATAGAGCTACCACATGATCCAGCAATTCCACTCCTGGGTATATATCCAGAAAAAGACGAAAACACTAATTAGAAAAGAACACGTACCTGTGTTCATACTAGCACTACTTAAAATAGCCACAACATGGAAGCAACCCAAGTGTCCACCAACAGGTGACTGACTTAAGATGAGGGGTGTGTGTGTGTCCCCAGTGGAACATACTAAAACATAAAAACAAATGAAACAGTCATTTGCAGCAACATGGATGGACCTTATGGTTAGTGAAATGAGTCAGAAACACA